TCATGGTAGGTAACTAATTCTTATTAGGTACAGCTACAGAATTTCAATCGACCTGATAATAATGAAAAAGTGAATTATAGAAACGTTTAAAAATATATATTAGAAAGTTTCAACAGGGCAAAAGGCATTATTCCCGGTGGCGCTGAAAGATTTTCTATCCCCTCGTGTGACCTTCTCATTTCTTCTCCTATCCATAAAAGCTTTTATTTTGTATTCCAGTGCCAACCGCGGTCGGGTCATATATTTTATAAGTTAAACGGCAAATGTTTTCGGACAAATAAATATCCCGGCCAAGGCAAACTTAATCTGGAGGGTAAATGATTGCACAGACAACAACTTTCTGTTGCCTCATCGTTTTTTGCCGTCGCCTACTTTCTATTGCCTTCAGCTTTTCTTTGCGAATGTCCGATATCGACGTGAAACTTATTTGAAGAGTGCGCTGTTTAGTATGAATCTGTTTGATAATTCCATCGAAAGCATGAAATAAATGTAAACTACATAAAAGATGGTTGTTACATTTCGAAGATATAAACGAAACTTGTTTTTTTCCATGAAACCCCCAAATTGATTGAAGATTGCCAAATACAATAAGTAATTATCGTGCCTAAAATACAGACCTAACACACATTTTTTTACCATTTTGACATGTTGGGAGATAATGTTCTTAGGACCACAGTGATATAAAAATAGATATTTATTATACAAGGGAAAAAAGTACTAAATTTTAGCTCGAGGTTGTGTTGTCTCCCGACGCGAAGCGGAGGGAGACAAAAGACCGAGAGGTAAAATCTACTTTTTTCCCGTGTATAATACACTATTTTTTTCTGTGACGGAAAAAACAACGATTTAATATTGAAAAAACATTATTACAATATATTAGTCACTAAAGTTTTAAATTGGTAGGCTGTTATACTTATAGCGACAATTACATCTGCGTTGCTAAAGAAACCTTTAAATTAATCAAATATCTGTGAATTTAATTCTGTGATTTGATTTAAAAATTGCAAACTTAGTGATTGTTTAGTAGTTATTTTGAATAATACAAAGTTAAAAAATGTCTGATTCCGAGTTTTCTCTGACTCTACCGGAGTTAGTAGAAGCAGCGAAAGTAGCGTCACAAAAATTATTGCCAGCTAAATCGCGCGAAATTTACGAAACCGCGTATTCAAGATTTATGGAATGGAAGATGAAAAAGATATGCAGTTTTTTTTCGGAGACGGTGTTATTGGCTTTTTTTGTGGAACTGGCACAACAACAAAAGCCATCAACAGTGTGGTCGAATTATTCAATGATTAAAAGTATGTTAAAATCCAATAATAATATAGACATTTCAAAATATTTCAAACTAATTACATTTCTGAAACAAAATGGGAAAGATTATACGCCCAAGAAATCTGCGATTTTTACGATTATACAAATTAATGATTTTTTAAATAATGCTCCTGATGAAGTTTATTTAATGGCCAAGGTTGTTGTTGTATTTGGGATTGCAGGAGCTTGTCGAATTTGTGAAATCAGCCAGGTAAGATTAGATTAATCGTGAAACTTAAGCAAACAAAGAATGATGTAAACAGGAGATTTGTAGTTACTGAAGAATATGTTAAATTTTACCTAATGTATACATAACCCTTCGTCCAGCAGCAGCAAAAGATCGTCGCCTGTTTTATGCATATCGCAATGGGAAATGTATCAATCAGGTTGTGGGTAAAAATCAGTTTTATAAGGTACCTGAAACAGTAGCTAATTTTCTTCAACTTTACAATGCTAACTCATATACAGGTCATTCATTCATCGTCTGCTACATTTTTAGTTGAATCTGGGGGAGACTTGATGACACTAAAGAAACATGGCGGTTGGAAGTCATCAACGGTCGCTGAAGGATATATTGATGAATCGGTAGCACACAGGACAGAAATAGCTAATAAAATGTTTAGAACGTGTGCCAGTGCTGAAATAACATCCGATTTGCGACCAGGTACATCAACGGCTGTTGTGTCCATGACAGAAAAAAATAAACAAGAAAGTTCGACTGTTATACCAAATAGTTTAAGAAACATTTATGCAATGTACATTTAATAATTGTACTTTTGGTGTAAAGGAAATGTAACTTCTATATAATAAAATATTCTAAAATTAAATATCTATCTTTACTTATGTATATTGTAAATATCCGGGAAAAAAATACCCACTTTTTTCCCGGGGAAAACAGCAATTTCATAAAAAGTGACATTTTGTTACCTGTCAACAGAGATAAAATGTCAAACTTTTTTCCCGTTACAGAAAAAAAAATATTTTTATAATAATAAAGCAAAATAGCTTGCCATAAACGTAATACTTAGAAAAATTCTTAAAATAAAAAAGTTCCCAACGTAGGTCGGAAAATGTTTAACATCCGACATCCACGGTTTCAAGCTGAAAATCTTGAAAAAGGTTTTTTTGTTCAGTACATAATGGGTAAAGAGTAAAATTAAAATTTACACTGACATTTAGCTTATTACCTTTATAAGATAAAATGACAATTAATTATGCATGTCGCAGAATTATTTACGAGAAGGTAAAATGGAAAGCGTAGATTAGATTTCACGGCATTTTTATTACATATTTCACACTTATGTAAGAACCGAAAACTTGTTGTGTAATATGTAATAATAAAAATAAATTCGAATATTTATTTTCCTCATTTTCGTTAGTTTCAATCATTTATGTGCATAATTTTAAACCAAAATCACGACGTTTTTTGCTCAAATCGCTGTATGTGTTAGAAAGAGATTATCACAGTTTTAACTAGGCCTTTAGTTTAATGACACATTCATTCTTTTGGCTGTATCTCCCTTGATATTAGGGATAGATCTTTTTTATATAGTGTAAAAGTATTAAGCTAATTCAAACAAATTCAAAATTTTTGCCGAAATAAAGTCAAACATTGTTCTTCGATACCAAAAATCTAGTTATGCAAAAGATATTTTGCATACTTAGAGTTCTGGTATCGAAAAACATTATTCGACTTCATTTGATAAAATATGTTTTGAAACAAATTTGAATACCTTTTACAATAGATTAAGAAAAAGAAACGTTATGTCACGGTAACTTGTAAGAAAATTTTGTATGAACACGTAAAAAATATTAGGACGTTTCATTAAAAAAATCAGTATCTAACATTTGACATCAATAAAAATGATAATTTGCTAACTCTACATGAGTTAAGTACGGTTTTCAAGAATTCTTTTGACGTTCATTACCTGCAAAAAATGTTAGCTTTCACTATAAGTAGGTATTGAACGTCGTATTATTTTACCGACGTTTCACTGCCGTAAGTGTATGCAAGATTACGGGTAATACTCCAGTTGAACTGAAGTTTGAATGTAAAAAATGTATTAGTAGACATTTTATTGCAATTTATGATGGGGAAGGGTGTAAAGTGAGAATATCACACCTGCACGCGGAGAATGGAGCGCCAGGCCCGCGCACGCGCGTAAACGCTGCCCTCGTCGCGCGCAAGATTTTTTAATCGAATTTGAAACGTTCAAGACACAAAACCTCGCGCGCGACGAGAGCTACGTTCATGCGCATACGCAGGCCCGGCACTCTTTCCCCCGCGTGCGGATCATTCATTAACGTTAACTTTTACTGCTGCTATCACGTTTATTACCTGACCTTTAATGTAAAACTTTCTGAAAATAAAAGTTTAAGCCTTTCTTTACTTGACTCTAAAATTCCGGTCCGATACGTTAATTAATAGTTAACGTTCAAAAAAAGTTATTTCGGGAACAAAGAGGCGTCGATGATTTCGCTTTTTTTAATTACCGTAAAGAATATGCTCTATTTAATGCAAAAAGAGCCAATTCCCGAGCGGCTTTTGCCTGACCCTGGGCCAATTTGTTTATAACGCTGCTTTGCATGTCCTGCTTTGTTAGTTGTAAACGGCTATTTAATTTCAACTTTTTGAAATTTTTCTTTTTCGATAACGTTCCTTTGGATGAATTAAAACCTGCATCTACGACACTAACTTCTAAAATTAACGTTTAGTAATTAAACAATTAGTTGAAAAAAAAATAAACGAAATTAATTAACAAATAGCTGCAGCAACAATTTCAGGTCAATCGAATCGGCGTTTGACACACATGTTGGTCATTGGATTGACAGTCTTTTCCTTAAATGTCATCAACATCCATCGTTTTTTGCAATATTAATGCGCAATTTTCGAAAACTAATATTTCCGCGTTCGATCTTTATTTTACAGTTAACAAATTAGTGAAAAATGACTAATATTCCGATAGGTCGTCTAGGTTTTCATGAACAGTAAAAAAAAGTGAAAAAACACATAAATTTGCTACTTATTTGCAAGTTTTTTTAAATATTCTGCTGACAGAAAACGCTAGCTTAGATTACGGTTGTTAAGAGGACTCTATAGCAAATAGGCAACCAGTAATACATTTTTATAGATTTTATTACACAGTTTGTCTAAATATGAATCATTGCACAAATAACAGACTTTTCTCCATTCTAATACAAATTTTCTATAAAATGGAATTAGTTTGAAACTCAAACTACTTTTTGTTGTAAAGAAATTTGTAATTTGCCGCTTTTGAACAAAAGGCATCGTAAATTACAAATTTCTTTACACCAAAACGTTATTTGAGTTTGAAACTAAGTCCATTCTAGAGAAAATCTACGTTAAAATGGGGGAAAGTCTGTTATTTGTGCAGTAATTCATATTTAGACAGACTGTATAATAAAGGCTATAAAAATGTATTGCTGGTTGCCTATTTGCGACAGATAAGATATTCTGCTGGTGTTCATTACCGGCAGAAAACACATCAACAATGAAATGTCGTTCATTGCTTATAGTGAAAGCTAGAATTTACTTTTACTTTCATATGATTCTAATAAATTCTGCTGGCTTTCGTTGTCGACAGAAAATACAAAAAATTGCACCCTCAGCTGCCGACGCTAAAGAAATCTTTTTTATTCGTATCAATTACGATTTCTGTTGGTTACAGGAACCAATGGCGGACCCCTCCATGAACGCCACCGAACTGAAAAAAGCCCTGGAATGGGAACTCTCCTTGGACAGCAGGGACCTGCGGTCGCACGCGTGGTATCACGGCGCCATTCCCCGCTCCAGAGCCGAGGACATTGTCCGCGAGGAGGGTGGCTTCCTCGTGCGCGACTGCACCTCTCAACCGGGCAACTACGTACTGACTTGCCGCACGAAGACACACGCACTGCACTTCGTCATCAACAAGATTATCCTGCAACAGGACACCGTGTACGAACGCGTCCAGTACCAATTCGAGGAGGACGCCTTTGACACGGTGCCCGATCTCATCACCTTCTATGTAGGGTCGGGCAAGCCTATCACTGTAGCTTCCGGCGCGAGGATACAGTTTCCTAAGAACAGGATGTACCCCTTGTCGTTCTATGCCTCTAAGTACCCCACGCCTTTACCCCAGAGTAGGCTGACATCGCCAGCCACCACTCCAGTGGGACACTACCGGCATAGCCCTTTGCAACCTTACAGGTAGAGATGCATCAAGTCAAGTGGCTGAGTATTTTTAAAAACAAACTCTTTCAAAAAATATGTTATTATTATAATGAAACTACAGTGGACATCTTTTTACATAAAAAAAACTATCAATTATTTGTTTTAGCCACTACCACCTTGTAACTTTTTTTTATTAAGTATTTTTGGATTTTCTGTTCATGGAAAATTAGAAAACTTATAGCCTAAAATGATATTTTTTAGATTCTGTTTCAGATTGGCACCATATTTTTAAAATTGTGAATTAAAATTCAAAATTGAATTTTGAAAACTTTTTTAAAAAACCAAGTGGTTTTGAAGAACTGCTTAAAATTTCAAATATCTACCAGTACTTGAAATATAATTACTTGACTTACTTGATTCGTTCACTGTTACTTGATATGAACATGATTTTATTTCAAATAAGCCAAGCGAGGGGCGATCCGCTGATGTAATCTTCGTACGTTTGCCCTGGAATCTTTATGTAATCTACGTAATCTTATCTGTAATCTATGTAATCTATGTGTAATCTACGTAATCTTATCTGTAATCTATGTAATCTATCTGTAATCTACGTAATCTTATCTGTAATCCTCGCTGTAATCTATGTAATCAGCTAATGAATTTCGTCGATGTAGTCGTTATACAACCCCCCCCCCCTACCTCATTTTCCAAAGAATGCCACAGAAACCTCGACAGAAACCTATATGGTGCGATTGGTGTGTTCCGAAGGGCAATCCGCCAAGGAAAAAACAGACGAAGATTACAAAATTTCTGAAATCTCTTGTAATGTATCTGCAGATTTCAATATCAATTCAAAAAATATTACAAATTTCATATAAATAATCAAGATTACAACACATTTCAGGAGATTTCAGAGTTATTTTAGTAGATTTCAATGATTACTTAAGATTTCAATAGGATTATTAGAAATTAAAAGAATATTTCAAAATTTCTTAATAAGGTTTCAAGGAATACGGGAAGATTACAATAAGTTTTGAATGTCCATTTGAACAAAAATAATTGAATTAACTTCAAATGTCATTCATTTCATTCATTAACAGTAGTACTTTGATTAAGAATTTCCAGTATCAGGCATTTTTTGGGCAAAAATTGTAACATTCTGATTAAGTTTTTTGTTCGAATGAACGTTAAAAACATTTTGTCATGACAAAAATGATAATGCTATTTTGAAAGTAGGTAAGTATTTTCCCAAAAACTAATAAATAAAAAATATATTAAGCTTTTATTAATACTTGCATTTAATACTTTACTTGTATACAGTGTGTTTAAAAAAGACGCGGCAATATTTAAGGGAGTGATTGCTCAGGTCAGTTTATAAAAAAAGTCCTATAAACATAGGTCCGCAAACGCTTCGTTACCGATCTACAGAATGTGAAATTTCATTAAAAAACAGTAAAAATTAAATTTCTCTAAAACGCAGCCCCTTATTATTACCTACTACAAACAACAGTATGTACCACATTTCAAAAATCAATCAAATTTGATAATTTGAATTTCTTTGTTCAATAATTTAAATTTCTCAATTAAAACAACATTGGGTTTAGGTGCGCAATAAAATGTTTTTTATTTTTTTACTCAATAACGGTGTGACGTACGGTGCGTATAATCTGAGGAAAGCTTTCTTCTTCATAATTGAACAAGGAATTAAAAAATTATATTTTTAGAAAAACCAGCGGGGTCCTATTTTTTTCATTAAAAATAGCTAGTCACTGGTAAGACTAAAAAATCGTTTTGTATTGCAAAGTACGCGTCTGCCATAGCTATTGACAGGCCTAAAATTTCATTATAATATCAAGAGGTTTTGGAGAAATTTAATTTTTACTGTTTTTTTAATGAAATTTCAACATTCTGTAGATCGGTAACGAAGCGTTTGCGGACGTATGTTTATAGGAACTTTTTTTTATAAAATGATCTGGGCAATCACCCCCTTAAATATTGCCGCGTCTTTTTTAAATACACTGTATACAGGTAAAGTATTAAATACAAGTGTTAATAAAAGCTTAAAATATTTCTTATTATTTATTTTTTGGGAAAATGTTTATTTTATGTTACTTTTTTTTTTTTATTTTTATTAGTTTATTGGATTATTATATTTTTATCTTTCAATAAAAATATATACTTACCTACTTTCAAAATGGCGTTATCATTTTTGTCATGACAAAAAGTTTTTAACGTTCATTCGAACAAAAACTTAATCAGAATGTTACAATTTTTGCGTAAAAATGATACTGGAAATTCTTAATCAAAGCACTACTGTTAATGAATGAAATGAATGACAGTTGAAGTTAATTCAATTATTTTTGTTCAAATGGACATTCAAAACTTATTGTAATCTTCCCGTATTCCTTGAAACATTATTAAGAAATTTTGAAATATTCTTTTAATTTCGAATAATCCTATTGAAATCTTAAATAATCATTGAAATCTACTAAAATAACTCTGAAATCTCCTGAAATGTTTTGTAATCGGTTGAAAGATATTGTAATCTTGATTATTTATATGAAATTTGTAATTTTTTTTTAATCGATATTGAAATCTGCAGATACATTAAGAGATTTCAGAAATTTTGTAATCTTCGTACGTTTTTTCCTTAGCGGATCGCCCCTCGAAGCCAAGTCAAGTAGTTCGAAAATCAAGTCGTGAATTTCTTCTTACAGACCTTCCAGTTCTCCCACACGTCCTTCCAGAGATGGACCACCTAGGTTGCCCTCGAAGAAACAGAGATCCCAATCTCTTACACCCAACGAAGTAAACAGAATCTCTCAAGAAAAATGCAACAGTGCTGACGGGGTGATCCAGTCTCCTCTGATGACGAGATCTGCAGGTTCAGACGCCACTACCGCTGGTTTGAAATTCTCCACACACTCACTTCCAAGAAACCCACATAATAAACTGTCCTTATCCAGCAGCTCGAACACTTTGGGACGAAATTGCAGAATAACCAGCGACTCCACTTTGTCCCCCTGTGCTGAACGTAGATTTTTCAACGAAAACGATTCTGGACTGTCAGAATCACCACCCCCAAAACCTTCAAGATTTCCTTGCTTAGTAAGAACAGAGTCAAGGGACTCGGATGTGACGGATACCAGGCACAGCCTAGACAGCGGCTTCCTCACCCACGGAAGCCTCCAAAGGGTCACCTCCTACCATGCGTCTGGGTCAGATTCCGGAAACGGTTCTGGCGATTCCACACTCAGCTCTGCAGCTGGTGATCCTGTCGAGGTGCAGAAAAACTCAGGTGTGATTATTAAAAACCCCAGGTACAACATGTCGACTTCTGAATCCTCAACGACGCTTAAGAACTTCGAGATAGACTGGCAAGTGGCCGAAGAAAAACTCTTCCAGATGCAACAACCTGAACTGGATCTATCCAGTAGGATTGACCTAGAGAACTTCCAAACTTTGTTGCTTCCGGTTAATGAGAATAAGCCTTTGGACGCCCAAGCCTTGAGGAGGATCAAAATGACGTTGTTCGAGTCAGGACCTAGAATCCTGGCAAACCATTTAACACGGACTGATTTAGATTTAATTTTTAGTAAGAGTGAGAAGAATTTCGTGCAGTCAAAACTGACCACAGGAATGGTAATGTGCATGCTGGCACATGGACAGAGGTTTAGGCTCGATCTTATAGAAAGGTAAGGGGTTGTAAATTGTAGCTAATGCTAAATAAAGACATTTAGACCTGTTTGGACCAGTATTGTACCGAGAATAACACAATAAAGCCTCTTCTTAAATTGTTAAAGTTAAGTTATACTGAATTCGTTAGCGTATAGTAGCAACAATGCAGCGACTTTAGTAACTTTCATTATTTTAGTTTTTTCCCACAAAGTTAAAAGTAAAAAGTACTAAATATCTATAGGCGAGTTTGTTTTTCAGATGAAATCTTCTACAGAAATTAAGCTCGTCCATAATGGAAAAATAATCATGTAGTCTAGGAAATCCAGACGTTACTCTCAAATTATTCCATTATAGTTAAATGATTCAAAGCAGTATATTTTTTTTACATATGTTTACTTTTATTTAACCAGTTGTTTATTCCAATTTTGTCTTGTGAAAATCTCTATAATTTAATTTTCTTTTTCAGGACCGAATGCCTAAAATTACTGGTGGCGGTAACGATCCTAACATGTGCCGATGAATCGGAAAGAACAGAAACCCTAAATAAATGGATTGAAATTGCAATAGATACGAAAACAGCTTTAGGAAATCTATTTGGATTTTGCGGCATTATGCTAGGATTATGTTTGCCAGAGGTAAAAATTTATTTCATTCCTTTTTTTATTTGTTATTTTAATATCTTTCTATACAAGGTGTTTCATAATAATATGTCTTTATTAAGGGAGGTGAATATGCCCATGATTTTAAATAAGAAAGTTCAGACAAACATATGTCCGTAAATGCTTTGTTACCATGTTACAGGGTGTTAAAGTTACAATAATTTCTCTGTTTTTTCTTTGTATCTCTTGTTTGTTGTTGTTAAGAAACTTTTTTATCTCTTGCAATGTTCTCCTTTCTGCTGACGTTTTTGAGCAAAAAAATAAAAAATAATATCTTGTACGTCTGCCTACTTAGATGATTATTATGAGTTAAATATTAACTACTTTTTAATTACTTATTTATACAGTATAACAAAAAATCAACAGGGCTAATTAACAAATTTCAAAAACCATTAATCGATGATTTCTTGGAAAATAAATTAATTCATTTAAAAAATGTTAACGGGATAATCTGACTTCTTTAAGTTAATATAATTTTCTGAATTCATGTATTCTAAATTATTTTGCAGATTGAAAAGTTGGATTCGACATGGCACATGCTAAGACAAAAATACACCGATTCTGCCTTCAACTTTGAAGCTAAACTCCGCCCAACACTGAAACACATGAACAGTTGCTCAAACCCACAGGCCCCAAACACAACGATCCCGCACCTACTGCCACTTATACTACTGCTGGAACGTAGTTTGGATGATTTCCTCGCGCCTAATGACCAGAGCCAGCTTTCGGCGAGTTGCTTAGGCTTGTGGGAATCGAATACTCAAGATTTTGGCCTTAGTACTTTATTAAACCACATGGAAACTGCCAGGAAATACATGGAACTTATACCCACCTATCAACGAAATGCCGAAATAGTGTTGAGTGAAGCAAGATTGGATGAACTGACTTTAGATATGTTTAAAACAGAATTCCAACTGAAATTCTTGTGGGGCAGTAGGGGAGCTTTCGCTAGTGCTAACGAAAGACATACCAAATTTGAACAAGTACTTACGGTGATGGCGGAGAAGTACTGTAATTTGAAAAGTGAAACTGAAGTGTGAAAATTTAAATGTGATCATTATGTACATATAGTTGTTTAATAAATTAACTTTAACCTTAAAAAATCACAAAAGAGTTTATAGAAACATTATTTATTAAATGAAATGAAGCTGAATAAATATACTTTAAGAATTTTAGGTAATAATTCTTTTGTGATATGTTAAGGAGATAAGTCAAACAAAAATTAATCATTTTGTTCTCTTAACTTTTTTATTTTGTTATAAACTGATATAAATTATTACGATATTCAAGATAATTAAAACTCCCACCAATATTTTATTTATATTATGAATACCTAGAATGAATCGCCTACAAGTTATAGATTTATATAAAATTAGTGCAACCGAAACACAATACTATATGACTGTTTATAGAATTTGGTAGTAAATGTATGTTAGACTTTATAGAACAAAAAAAAGTTTGCTAATTTTTGTTTGACTATTTTATGTAATGGATTTAATTTTTACATATCAAAATTGTTATGATTATTTCGATATTTCGCTGAAACAACCAAAAACAACCTCTTGATAACACCATTCAGCTTGGTTAAACGAAATTTAGGTCATGTAAAAAAATAAGCTTTAAACTGTAATTAGTAGAATTAGAATTTTATAAAAGGTGCTCATTTATTATATTAATGTAAGGAAATAATCAAAGATTATTACATGTAAATCAAAACGGATTGAGAATTTTTGTTATTTATCTTTACATTTCTGACAATACAATATAAAGACTGCAGCAATTGCTATTTAATGATATGCAATTTATGTAAAAAATTAACCCTTTCATGAAGCCATTAATGTATCGTGCCACCAGACTGGTTTAGGACAGTTCCCGTAACAAAATCATCAAAGTTCTTGTCATTTTTCAAAATTTTGATATGAAAACTTGTGCATAGGTTTTAGTATGACGTACTGAATTGGTTACCGTATTTGACAAAAAAATTGAAAGGGTTAACCATCTGTTCAGAACTAGGAAATTGCTTAAAATTTTGGCTGTAGCTTAGCTTACGACAGTTTCGTCTATTTTGTGAAACACAGTTCTGCCTTTTTTTAAACATACTGATCGATGTAAGGAATTTAATGTTTCCTTAAATTTTGTTATATTATTAAGATTTATTTGTATCAACTAAGGAATGGCTAAATATGACCAAGTGCCTTCCAAATTTGGACCGACAGAAAAGTTGCGTATTTAACTTTAATGAGCGACAATAGTTACCTATCAAAGTTTTACAAAATAGACGAATCTACCTAAACATTATAAATCTACAAGTAAGCGAGAATTCCTAGTTCCTGTCTTGTACGCTGATTCAATATAATTTTGATTAGACCTACATTTTATGGTTACTTTGCATTTCTAAATATAAAAAATATAAATTTGCCTTCCCAACCTGCATCACAAGTGTAATTTGCCTGTTTTTAATTTATTTATAAAGAACTGTACAGTTAGCAGCTTTTTACAGACTGAATTTTTTATCGAAAATGGTTTTACAATTTTTCTTACATATTTTAATGTGATGTTATTGTATATTGATTAAAATACAAATATACACATATAATACTACCTAACTATAACATGTATTAAACAGAAGAGTAGGTTTAATAATTTATTAACGGGTCTATGATGTCAGTTATAAGTAGGTAGAAAGGAAATTGTAAACAAATATGTATAGTAGAAAACTTCTGTGTATTTCACAGTGTATTAAAAAATATTCCTATATATAAACAAAATAAAAATTTAACAATATTACTCGTTTGTTTTAATTTTAAGTAATTCTTCTTTCACATGCTTCGGTATTTTAATTCTTTTCCGTTTCCTCTTTTCTACTTCAGGTCGACTTTCTTTCTTACTAATTGTAACAGTCTGCAAGTTTGGTTTATACCTTTTTTTCTTACAAGATAGAGGATTTGGTCCCTTCTTTTTTCTCTTTTTAGGTTTCTCTTCATTACTAACTATACCACCCTTTAATTTCAATTCTTCCAAGGCGATTTTTTCAGTTTCACATAAATTAGCAAGTTTATCTTTAACTGCTTTCATTGATAATTCTGATGGTTGTTCCAAAATTGGAGTTTTTGAATGTAAATAGAGTAAAGGTACACCTGGCTTATTTCTGACTATGTCTTGTAAGTCACGATCTTGTGTTGCTATAATATAATGATTTTCATTCTTGCTTCCTAACATAGACAAGAAACATTGAGATCCTAATATCGGTTTACCTTCATGTCCACACTTATGAATGACATATTTCTTTAAAATTAACAAAGCTCCATTCAATTTAGGGCCCAAATTTTCCATTTCTATAATAGCACATTGCGTTGTTAGAAGTTTTATATCACCTTGTAGATATCTTGGGATGTTATTTGCTATATTTATCTTGTTCTGCATTAACAAATAAAAAAATTATTTAAGAGACAGTATTAACTTATCTACAAAACTTACATTTAAAGCAGCGTAACAAAATGTGCCGTCTACTAAAAGTTGATATGGTTGTCTGAAACCAAAGTTATTGATGTAGAATCCTAAACGTTTATTGACTTTTTTATAACGTCTTATTTTCATATTCGTTGTTTCTAATTTTAGTTATTTTAAAAACTATGGTTTTCACTTCACCATAGAACATAACCTTACTATTTTTTTTTACTACCACCACCACCCATAGTCCTTCTTCTTCTTTTTTTCTGGTCTTCACCCAGGGGGTATTTAGCCAGCTACCCATAGACCTTATATTTCTTAGAATATTATCAGTTATATTTACTCAAGGACATTCTTTATTTAAACGTCCTTGGAAAAAAACAGTAGCCGGAAAAATCGTACCGTACTATGATATGTTTTGTACCTTGCATCTCTATACCTTAGAGCATATACTACGTGGAGGGGGCATGCCTTCTACGGCGACAGTCTAGACGAGTGACAGAGAGAGAAAGACATAGTTGGGTTACTATCTTTCTCTAATGCTAACTCCCTGATATTCAAATAAAATTAATAGCGATTTCCATTGAGGAAAACTGGGGCTGCACTCGGGCAGCACTGACACTCCACTGGTTGTATGAGAAATATGCTCTGGTGCAATCTCAATGGAATGACAATTTTTGCTTGGGTTTCTGACATTATAGGTTATGTTTTTGTTTTGATTTTTATTCAGTCAAAGTAACAGTTGACCAGTTGAAGTTTTTTAAAGAAAGTAGTTACAGTGAACCAAGAATTAAATTTGAAATTTAAAATAAACGACGAGGAAGTTACATTGTGTATTCCTGTAGACGAAACAGATCACTTATTTAAGTTTGTAGATGACATTTTCAATTAATCCTTCCACTTTTGGCAGTTGTTCGCGTATAACTGGTATAACATACATTTCATGATCATCACTACTACTACTTGATAAAAACGATAATAATGGAGCAACTACTTTGTCCATATTTACCGCCATTTTTTCTTGCACTGACACCGGCACCAACTCCAAGACCTCGTGCGAAATAATATGCACTCAGAGCAAGAACTGTTGCTCTAGATTTCCAATGGAATTTGAAAATTTGCACCGACTTGACCAATGGAACGTAAATGGTGCACTCAGTGTGCACCAGTTTTCTCAATGGAAATCGCTATAAGAGAATGTGAGCAAGTATTCAAGTTCAATTCAATTCAAGTTCAGTTCAATAGCCAAAGAAGAAATAAGTGTAAGTAGTAGATACTATAGGTAGAAGAATATGTAATTGATTACAGCCTTATTCTACAGTTTAAAATATTTTACATTAAGTATCTCCGGAATTCCGTTCCAACCTGAATGCAACCAAACTGCAACCAATAACCAACACGCTTTGGTGAACCATGGATTCATGTAAACAAGCTATTATTTGTGGCACGCTGCGAAAAAACTGAAAAAGTGTGATGTGATCGGTGACCTGAACTCGAATAGATTTGATAAAAGTTATAAATATTTCCTGTTTCTGAACTAAAATTTTGTTACTAGCAACTACTTATAAATGTCTGCAACTTTTGCTCAACGCCCTGGCCCCCGTCCTCCACCAGATCCTAAACAAATCCAGAGATTATTAGACGAAAATGGACACCTCATTCAAACCATACAAGAATATCAAAGTAAAGGAAAAGCTCAAGAAGTTATGCAGTATCAGACTCAATTGCACAGAAATCTGGTTTTCCTGGCCACTCTAGCAGATTCAGCACAAAGTGTAAATACATTGCTGCCTGTGAGTATCAGCAATTTTTTTTTTTCTTGGAGGGTTTATGTGACATTATAATTTGAACTTTTGCCCGACGGAAACTTTGTCACACTTCAAAACTCTGTTTTCATTATAAAGTTTTGACAAATATTTTAGATATACAGGGTGATTCAGAACTGTTGGTTAGCCATTACAAGAAAACTGGAGATTAGCAAGTGGGAAACCTTAAGAGCAGTCTTCTTAAAATTCCATCTTAAGGAGTTTATTGCCTTAAGAACTGCGTTATCAAAATCATTTGTTTCATGTCCACACATACTTTTTTATATCATATGATGGTTCTTTCATATCTCTTCCCATTTATGGCATACAACATGATATGCATAGAGAAAAATACTGGTTTAATCAAGTCTGTTACTGATTTTATCAGAATTGCCGTGGAAAACAAGATACTGACAATGTTTACATTGATTATTGATATAAATTATTTGCCTCTAAAGCTATTACTAATGTCGAATTTTACCGAAGTAGTAAATTTGCACAAAAATAAATAAAACATACCTATGAGTAGTGAATAAAATATTGAAAGTATCTTGGTTTCCACAGCAACTCGGTTAAAATCGGTAACAGACTTGATGGAACCAGTACTTTTTCACTGCACATTTTATCTTTTGAATTGGAAGAGATATAAAAAAACGTTGACTAAATCGATGTCGCGTATCCAAATATTTACAATATCTAGTAAATGAGGCCCCAAATAAAGATCTTACAAGAGTGAAATAAATAGAATAAAATGCCGCTTTATCTAAAAAAAAAGCAGCATAGGCATACTCAAAAAAAATGGGGAGTCCATGGGTACTGCAACCCCACTCCCCTCCCTTCGTGCTTTAATATTCTAAACCAAAGTTACACAAAAATGTGCCGACTTAAGATCAAAATATGTGCTAAATTTCAAATAAATAACTCTACAATCACCGGGGTTATCAATAAAAATCATTTTTTAAATTTTAATTTTGACACCATGGATTTTGAAAATGGGACTCCGGACTCCGAAATGAAAAATGACATAAGAAAAATCACATTATTTTACTCCAAAGAATATGTGGTTAATGAATTGACCTACAAATTTGTAACATCCTGTATAATAAACAGCACTTAAAATGGTTCCTAAACATATATTATCGTATTGGCTGAAGTCATTTATTTGTGTATTTGTTTTTTTTTCCTATTTTTTGGGTATTTTACCACCTGTGAAAAAATTATATATTATCGTTTATAAATATTGGACATGAAAGCAAGGAGAAATCCCTTTTTGGTTATCATTTTTACAAAAAACTAAATTTTTAGATGATACAGCCACCAGGACCAGGAGGGGGTCCTCCTCAGCCAACTCATGGCCCCCAACCTCCCACTACCGACCAGCAGCATATGAACAATTTTAATCATCAGCAACAACCACCAGGACCAGGAGGCCCATACAGGTAAAATAATAGTAGAAATATTTTCCTTTTACAATAAACATTTTATTCAAAAAAAGGCAACAACCAGGACCCCAGAGACCTGGCCTTCCTGGTCCACATCAGTACCCTCAAAGGGGGTACCCTCAAGGGCAATATCCTAACCAGTATCCACCCCAAGGACAGGGTTATCCACAGGGCCAATATCCTCCTCCAAATCAACCACCAGGTTACCCCGCTGGTGCTCCACAAGGAAACTATGGACAACCCCCAACAACTGCTGCTCATAATAATTATCAGCAACCAGGTATTTATACATATTTTTAGTAACAGACAATCCTATCAGTTTGCACCGTTTTGACCTTCAATTATATATTTTTGCAATTATTGTATTAAAAAATTAGTCATATCCAAATATTCAGATATTCAGGTTAATCGGAATACTTTGTTTGCAACATAATATTATGAGATCACAATAATAAGATTGTTACAACAAAGTACAAATGTCTTCACTCATTGTTAGAGACAATTTCATGCGTAAACTGTTTCTGCTGCACTTGTATCCATATTAGTGAATAGTATAGCTTGCAACCACGTACAATCATTTAGAATAATGATTGAATTGCATGACTTATTTTGCCTCTTTTATCTTTGTTTTAATAGACAATATTCTGCATTGAAAAAGAGATGTCATGTCTAAGAAAATGGCTATCAACAAAAATCAATGTGTTTTCTCTACTTTTAAAATAAAAAAGAGGAATTCTTAAATATATACATATTTTTAAATGTAGATATGTAATAAAACAAATATTAATTCCCCTTTTTCGTACTTCTACCTAGTGCATTATACACGGTCATTCCCTCCACATCCTCCCCACCACCTATCTTTTTTATTTTTCTGTCTACGAATAAAATAGTAAAGATCAAGGTTATATGAAATTTTCTTATGATTTAAAAGAAATCTATAAAAAAACTGTTTTTTGTTTTTTTTATCTTTTTTTTATTTGTCTATTTTTTCTGATTGCAATGATATACATGGTGTGATATTTAACACTCCCGCTGTCAATATCTCCGAAATAAAGAAATTTATTTTAGTTCCGCAAACTGGGGTTGTTAGGTCCCTCGAATAGCTTAAATTGCAGTTAGAACTGTTAGTTCAAATCTTTCTGTATAGATGGCGTGGCGTTACTAAAAAATTTTTTGATCCCTGGAACGTGGAAATGCAGTCCATCTGAAAGATCGTTAAATTTTGAGTAATTTTTTGTAATATAAAGTTTGTCCGTATATTTACTTGTTTACGAGATATGTCAACTTCAATAATATGCAATATATCATGGAACAGGAAAAACTATTATTTTATTTAAATCACACTGAGATAAAATATTCTTTCAAAATATTGTTATAATGGCTTTATTCACTAACAAACAATAAATTATAAAAAAAACGAATGATCAACTGCAGAAAAAAAAATTGTAAAATGGCAAAACTTATAAGAGGCAGAGACGAACCGTATTTTATCAAATGTTATTAAAAAATGCAGTCATAGGTGGCTCATGTCAATAAAACATATATGACAGATGACACATATTAGTTTTCCAATAATTACAGTTTTATCAGCTTGCGACTTTCAATTTAGTTATATTTACCATCGTACAATTTTTTTTTTTGTAGATCATTTGTTTTTTTTTTATACTTTATTGTTTGTTAGTTAGTATGTGGTGTGAATAAAGTCATTCTAACCATATTTTAAAAGAATATTTTGTCTCTGTGTGATTTAAATACTTAAAATAGATTTTCCTGTTACATCAAACATTGCATATTGAAGTGGATATGTCTTGAAAACAAGTAAACATTGGGAAAAACTTTATATTACAAAAATTACTCAAAATTTAACGATCTTTCAAAATACAACCCCAGTTTCTGAAACTAAAATAAATTTCTTCATTTCGGAGATATTGGCAGCAAGAGTGTTAAATGGTACACCCTGTATACATGTTACAAATTTGCTTTGATAGTTTGCTCCAGGGAGACTAGAAAATTTGTCCCTTCATAAGAAAAATGTATTAAAAAAAATTCCTTTTGTTTAGAATACGATGGAATAATTATTATAAAACATCTTTTAGTTCCATTTTTTGTAGCTGAAATTACAGGTTTGCGGTATTCTCTATATAGGGACTCTAGCATTAGAACTACATTTTTATAATAACTAAAAACAAATATAGTCTGTTCCATAATTCTAATATACGTAAACAGTTCTAGCTTATGATTTATCAGTAGAGCGAGTTATTTGCATTGGTGTTTTCTTCCAATTAAATTCACACTAAGTTACTACCTGCTACTATTGGTTGTTCTTGGCACTGCCATCTCTAGACGGCAGAATTGGGTACCTTTACAGAGTTTTCTGTGTATTTAGTTAAAATTCCTAATTATCCATTTTAGTAGAGTAAGCTGTCTTTCTCCTATTTTAATATTACTTTGAGAAATTCCAGAATATCATCTACTGGTTTTGTGCATTTCCAGGTTATGGTACACCACCCCCAAGTGGTGCTCCGCAACAGCAAAGCGCTCCACCAGGACCTTATCCTCCTCCTAACGCCCCTCCTCAAAATCAACCTGCGCAATATGGAGCTCCTCCAAACGGTGCCCCATATCCTAATAGCACTCCACCTCAAAATTACCCTCCTCAACAGGGATATCCCCCGCAACAAGGCTATGTGCCGCCACCTTCAAGCCAGCCTCAGACCACTCAGCCCCCCTACTCCAACCAGCCTCCTACCGCTCCCCAAAATTATGCAACAAATAATTCTCAGATGCCCCCATTCTCCAGTCCTCCAACAAACAATTCTAGCCCGGCTGTCACTTCGTCAGCGGCTCCTGCGCCACCCGCTACTTCTCAGCCATATCAACCCCAGTACCCTCCCAACTCTCAACCGTCTAATCCTAATGCTGGTTACACTCCTCCTCCTAATCAAGGATATCCTCCGGGCCCAGCTGGTCCGCCCAATACATACGGATATCCACCTCAACCGGGCGGTTATCCGCCTCAGCCTCAGTATGGACAACAACCGCAAGGCTATCAGTATAGGCCCCCAGCAGGACAGGGGCCGCCTGGGCCACCCCCACAAGGTCAATATGGCTACAACTATCCGCCTCAGCCCAACCCTCAATAAATTTCTGTTAAACTATTTTAAATATTTTTTTCTGGTGAAAATTAAGCTATGATGTGCAAAATAATAGTTTTTATTTAAGAAGGAACTAATTCTGTGTCAGTAGAGTTCTTTTAATTCTGATTCATCAAATTGTTATCCTCATTTTCTCTAAAATTACGAAATTCAGATTAATTTTTCTTAATAAGAACATATTTGACTGTATGGATTAAAATTAATAAAACGCTCGTAAACAGATTTTGAGTTATATTTTTTTCTTAATCGGTTAAAATTAGATTTAATTAACTTTTCCTCCATTCCCGTTTGGTATGTCAAATCATATTATAGTTGTTACGATCTCAAATGGAACCGCATAAAAAAATTTAACTCATAAATTCTACAGAATCCATAGGTGTCCAGAAAAATTTAGCCCTGTCTCGTGTAGATATACTATATTCCGAGCTATATTACCATATAATTACCATATGATTGTCAAGTTTTCTATGTCTAAAATTGCATTGTAATAAAGCATGTCGTAAAATATCTAAAGATTTTTCACTTAATTTATCTCGAATCATGTTTACAGTAGGAACTTTATTTTCTTTATACATATTATAAATTGTGGGCCACATTACATCTGGTAAAATGGTCAATTTTCTTTCATTTTGTATTTTTCCGTTTCCTCTGTACAGGGTGATTCACTATATTTTGACCCCCCTTTAACTTTTTTGTTTTAAGAGTTATAAAAAAAATGTTAAATATAAAAGTTGCACGAGTTTTTATGAATTTTTCGAAAATGATAGAAAAATAAATGATGTCCAAATAAAATGGCCGCGGATGTTAACTTTGTTAAGTTAAATGGAACACTCTATATATTTTTACATATTTTGATAGAACCTTCCCTGTCGAGCATAGTCATATTGGGTTTGTTGGATTCATCTCTAACAATAAGCGAGATAATATTAAAAAACTAAAAGGTTTTTTATTTAAAAAATAAGACTTCTTGTAATTGTTAGACCTCTTTCAGGCATTTCAGCCTTTTTTCCAATTACGTAAGGATTTACAGATTTAGTTAAAATATATTTTGATATATCGGACATTGATACGGTCCAAAATGAGTAGGTAATGTAGAAAAATCTCACTAATTAGGTCGTGAGAGGTCTAATTACTCATGGACATTATATGGTAGGTTGTGACAGTGACAAGTAGTAAGGTCTTGACAACGTATTGTTTGACAGTTTGTATTATTATTTAATTAAAATGGGTTACACAGAAGTAGAAAATTATTTAGAATTAAAATAGAGTATGGAGAACTTTGCTCTATTTTAATTCCTATAATATTTCAATTTTCTACTTCTGTGTAACCCATTTTAATTAAATAATACTACAAACTGTCAAACAATAACACTGTTTTCATGACATTACCTGTCACTGTCACAGCCTACCATATAACATTGTCCATGAGTAATTAGGCCTCTCACGGCCTAATTAGTGAGATTTAGTTAAAGTACCTATGCGCATTTTGGACCATATCAATGTCCGATCTGTCAAAATATACTATAACTAAAACTGTAAATCCTTACGTAATTGGAAAAAGGCAGAAATGCCTGAAAGAGGTTTTAACAATTACAAAATATCTTATTTTCTTAATAAAAAACTTTATTTTCGTTTTTTAATTGTATCTCTCTAATTGTTAGAGATGGACCCAACAAACCCAATATGACTATGCTCAACAGGGAACGTTCTATCCAAATATGTAAAAATATACAGGGTGTTCCATTTAACTTAACAAAGTCCGCGGCCATTTTATTTGGACATCATTTATTTTTCTACTATCATTTTCGAAAAATTCATAAAAACTCGTGCAACTTTTATATTTAAAAATTTTTTATCTCTTAAAACAAAAAAGTTAAAGGGGGGGGGGGGTCAAAATATAGTGAATCACCCTGTACCTTGATCAATCCTTCTTTAATCACGGGATAAATTGTCGTTTTTGATATCTTAGTTAATTCGTTAATCTGTTTCCTAACTTTTTTATCACATTGTTCATTATTTTCAATTTTCAAACATTCATATATATTTAATATAATACGTTGACTTTTTATGTGTAAATCTTTTTTTTTAAAACTGAGTTTGTTTCGATACTTTCAACAAAAACCGGTTCCACTATTTGGAGATTTTCAGGAGTTATTTCGTTATCCTTCACTTCAAAGAGTCTCCAGAGAGCCACGCTAAATTACTAGATAATTGCATATAACATTTATTTTAATAACTATTACCCTTTACTGGTTACGATATGAACAAATAATAATATCAACTAATAAATAATAATACCTATTATACCAACAACATACCCCGCCAATGCTCTGCACTGCACTGGCAAAGCTAAGTGAACCCGTGTATCATACAAAAAAAATTATTTACGACCTAATGGACCAATATAGTTTGCTAGAACTCGCCGAATTGCTATTCGAGTATAAATTACGAGACACATCATGGTCAAAGCATAGGAAGAAATTTCAGGAGAAGTGCATACGGTCCTGTGCTTTAACATTTACAAGTTCCAATTGACATCGTAACAACTATACCAAAGCAGTCTTTGTTGAAAAAAATATATTTAGTCTAGTATTAAAATAATAGACAGTAACTTATTCTCAACATATAGACCTGTGAGACGTTGAAAATTTGATTCCATGGGTGTAACAGTTGTTAATTATAGAACAATAGATATGTCAATTTTAGTGAAAAGTAGATGTTCTTGATCTATTAAATTTAATCGTGTATGACTCCCTTGATTATTATCAGATCAGCCGTTAACACCCGCTTCCATTTTTAACAACTTTTAAGAATAACTAAAATACTTCCCACTTCCCGCTGACACACAGAGAGTTTTAAAAAGTTAAACCATACAGTCTCGGTCCTCCCCATTTTTGTTCATGATAAACAAAGGTAGAAGTAGGTTTTTGTAACAATATAATGTTCCAAACACACAGGTAGAACACTATGCGAAATGAACGACAATTAACATGCAAAAAGTACACAAAATTGTGTCAGATTAAGAAGTAAGAAAATTATGGTTTGATTTATTTATTTATGGCTACAAGCACTGGAGTAAAGAGTTTACTTCTGACCATTTTGGAATAAGGGACTGGTATAATGAAATATTTATTTAAAACATTTAAACAAGTTAAAAACTTTCAAATTCATCCTTATACCACATATGTTCACTTACTCTAAGTTTATTTTCTTCTGTAGATTCGTCAAAGTTAGCTACATCTCCTATCGATTTAATTTGTGGTACAAACGGTGGCTGAATTTGACAATTATAAACTGCCAACCAGTCGGTGTCTCTGAACCATTTGTGGGTTTTAATGTCTTGAACCCCATTTCTTAAATTACCATATCTGTAAAAATTTATATAATATTCATATTAGAACTATAAAAATCTGAATTTACTTTAAGTAAATAATTATGGAAGCCAATAAAATCACAAAATTAAGATGTACCTTCTACTTAAATCTAGCTGCAGCAAATTTTTTACCAAATCTTGTAAGTCTGAGGAGAATGCTCCAGGACATTTATACTGGCAGGATACTATCTTTTCATATACCCTTATCGGATCTCGAGCAATAAATGGGGGGTATCCAGCATTCATCTCAAAAATCAGCACACCAAAAGACCACCAATCGATAGCCTTGCCATAACCTTTACTCAGGATTATCTCTGGAGCAATGTAGTCTGGGGTGCCGCATAAAGTCCATGTACGTCCTTTTACAATCTATTGGGATTAGATAAAAAACAATACTAGTATACATTTTATAGGCGTGCATTTTGGTGAAGTTATTTTAGTACATTTCAGAAAAATTACCTTACAAAATCCTAGATCGGCTATTTTTATATATCCCTTCTGATCAATCAAAATATTTTCAGGTTTCAAATCTCTATAGAGTATGTCGCAGTAATGGAGAAACTCTAATGATAATACAACTTGGGCTGCATAAAATTTTGCTAAAACTTCTGTAAATCTCTTCATTCTAAAAAATATACACATTGCTGAAACTAAATTTATAGTCTACTAAGAAAGTATTTTATTTCATTAAAAATTACGTTACCTAAACTGAAAAAAAGTTGAAAAAATACCTCCTTAAATGAGTAAACATCTCTCCACCATTAATAAATGGCATGATAAAATAAATATAACTGTTATCCTTAAAACACTGTTTCATGGACACAATAAAAGGAAATCGCACTGACTCCAAAATCTTTTTTTCATTTAGAGAATGGTCAACCTGTTCGAGTTTCATCATTCTTCTTTTATCCAAAACCTTCATGGCATAGAAAGCCTCCACGTCACCTTCTTTATATTTTACAAGGAACTAAAACAAATTTTAATACATTCATAGTATCTTTACAGTTAATGTTTTTAAATTATTTGTTTACACGAGCTTTGCTTCAAATTTTATAAATTAAACAATGAATTTATTTCCTATGAACAACAAAATATCTAACGACAATTGTTAATTTTTGACTGATATTGATATTCTTGTATTTTCTTTAATACTAGCCTTTAGTAACAAGTGCTGGATATAGTTATGTCTAACTGAAAGAATTAAGATCTTTTTAAATTCTTACAGAATACTGAAACATTTACCACATGTCCAAAAGAACCCTTTCCTAATGTCTTAACAGGAACATATTTGTCCAATCCGTCGCCGGATGAAAGCGATTTTTTCTCATACCTTTCAAGAAACTCCTGTTTCAGTTTATCTAAAACCTCTGCATAGGCAGACCGGTATCGGTTTCTCTAAATAAAATTTTCATGAAATTATAATTAAAAAAGAGTTATGCAATATACAAACAGTTAATCCTGGGGCTCCATTAGCTGAAGACAGAATGATTTTAGCAGACTGTTCGATATCATCTTTTTTTCTCAGTTTCTCCATTCCATCAAATTAAGACAGTTTGCCAAAAACATACATCAATGGATGAAACTACTTGATTTTTTAAATTGTGACAAATATTTGACATTTATCCAAATTGGCACCATTAGCTTTTGTTAATGAAAAATTTTGTAACAATATGACTCATATTGAATTAAAAGCCCAGCAACTTCGCCAAGAAGCTGAGAAGAAGATGAATTCCAGAGGATTTTTCAAAACTTTATTTTCAAAGAACTTTAATCGAATAGAAGAATCCATCGAGTATTACACCAGAGCCGGAAATCTGTTTAAAATGGCTAAAAACTGGACACAGGCAGGGTTTGCCTTCTCGGACGCTGCAGACCTGAACTTTCGTAATGATAACTATGTAGAGGCTGCTACAAATTATATTGACGCTGCAAATTGTTTCAAGAGATGTAATTCGAGTAAAGCTATAGAATATTATTTGAAAGCTATTGCTATATACTGCGATAAAGGTAAGTTTGTGATGGCTGCCAAATACAATCAAATTATTGCGGAGCTACTAGAAGACGAATATGATGTTGATGAAGCCATTTCGTACTACGAAAAGGCGGCAGACTTATACAAACAGGAGTGCAATTTTTCCTCCGCCAATAAATGCTTGGAGAAAATTGCCGAGTACGCTGCTCTGTCCGCAGACTACCACAAAGCTATAAACATTTTTCAAGAAATAGCTTGCTTTGATCTGGCAAGTTCTATATTAAAGTACTGTGCTAAACATTACCTGTTTCGAGCTGCAATTTGTCTGCTATGTTCAGAAGCTGAGATCAAGCAAAAACTGCAAACTTATGTTAATATGCACCCAGCATTCGAGGATTCAAGAGAATATCAACTCATTATATGCCTCTTGGAGTGCATGGAACATGGAGATCCTGAGGGATTTGCAAATGCTGTTAAAACATATGACTCCATTACCAAGTTGAGCCAATGGCATATCACCATGTTACTTCGTATAAAAAATCAAATAATGGACTATCCAGACTTGAGATAAATGTTTAATAAATGTCCTTAATTTCCTTGGAGTTATGTTACATTTATTTGTAAATTTTTAAAATTATTGTTTATAGAATTGTATACAGGCATGAAGTAGCTTAAATGAGGGTAAAGTTTCATAATTAGGGAACTGACATTATGCCTCTAAAAAATCAAGGCTAACATTGGTTTTCAAAATATTTGAAAAAAAACGAAATTTTGGAAATCCGTTTTTGGTTCATTTCAACCTTGTTTGAGGTGACATTGAAAAACGAAGAACACTTTCTCATGACCACTTTTTCCCCTCTATCGAATGGCATAACCAATTTTTGTATGTAACGTTTCGTCTCTCCAAGACCATCATCAACTTCATTTTTTTAAATACTACCCTAGAAATTTTATTACATATTTTGCAAGCCTTCATGACCAAATTCAGACATTTCGTCTTAAAAAATTCCACTTCAATATATTCGTTCCAAATTTATCTAATTTTTTTTTAGATTTCTATGTTTATTGAATTATCGTACACTGAAAGTTCGTTAGACCTTGTGAAATCCACCTAGTTATTTAAACTATTACCATCACACGTTACAATAAAACAGTGGAGTTTTAATCTCCATCACCTGGTCATAAATAATTCGATAAGTTGTTGCGTCAAAATTAAAACATTATTTCAATTTTAATTTCATTATGACAAATTAATTCTTAAAAATGCATATGAACAACCAAAACTCCAAATGAATATTATACTTAAAAAATTACAGTAAATGTTCAAAAACTTTTCCGTTTTGGCAAATGTTGAAAATGAAAATAGGCATAATATGATCGAAATTTATTATACCTGTAACCGCAACTGTGAAAGAGCATGCCAGATCTATGTGTATGCATATCCTGAAAAAAATTAGATCGAAATTTGTTTCAATTTTGAGCACTCGAGAAACCTAGAAATAACTATGAGCACGGGATTAAAACTAATAATGTTTTACTGTAATGTGATGTAATCGTTAGACCCTGTGGATTTCACAGGGTCTAACGACACTTAGAGTGTACGATAATTCAATAAACATAGAAATCTAAAAAAAAAATAGTGGAACGAATACATTGAAGATGAATTTTTCGAGACAAAACGTCTGAATCTGGTTCGGGCTGAGGATGCTGCCAGTATTGGGGGTTGTGCAGGCTTGCAAAAAATGTAATAAAATTTTTAGGGTCATATTTAAGAAAATGAAGTTACGTATAAAAATTGATTATGCCATTCGATAGAGGGGAAAAAGTTACCATGAGAAAGTGTTCTTCTTTTTTCAATATCACCTCAAACAAGGCTGATATGAAACAAAAACGGATTTCCAAAATTTCAGTTTTTCTCAAATATTTCGAAAATTAATCATGTTAGCCTTGATTTTTTGGAGGCATAATGTCAATCCCCTGATTATGCAACTTTGCTCCCATTTGAGCTACTTCGTATCTCTTACCGTTTCTGAGATCCCTGTAGTGAGAAGCGAATTTGTAACAGCCTGTTTAGTGTCTTACAAATGGTTGAAAAAAATGAGTATCCTAATATCCTAAATGGCCTAATTCTTTATATTCAGGGTGTTAAATTTTTTGAGAGCACAAAAGCACGATCTCCACAGATATTTGACATAAAATAATGCAGAGATATAAGAAAACGTCATTACTCATTACTAAGTAACCCAGAATTTCAACGTCATAGAATTTTGGAAATTCAACACAATTTTATTTAAAAAATTTATTTGATTTGCAATTATTGTACATATTTTAAAGAAAAAATATCTCCTGCATTTTATTTGTAAAACAAGTCATTTTCGAGTTACTGTTTATTTTTAGCCTAAAGTAAATGCCACATAATAGAATATATAGAAAATAATTCAAAAACCATTGTGGGGATTTTTTCTTGAAGATACTATTTTAAATAATAAGCATTCATTTAAAGTCCGAAAAAGTCATTGATGTAGAAATTTACCTCTTGCTAATAATTTTTTTAAATTTTTAATATTGTTATTAGATAATTGCATATAAACTCAATAAATGTTTGTTTTGTTTTTCTAATATTTTTCAAAAGCTTTAACATGCTGTACATTAAAAATTAAATTGTTTAGAATATAAGTTTATGGGGACTTTATTTTCCAAAATTGAACAAAAATTCCATCATTTAATTTTTGTAACCATTACTGAGACGCCATGATAATTCATTCATATACAAGGTATCCGCAAATTTCACTGACAACGTTTGATTGCATATTCACGACAATAAATAAATACGATCTACGAAAAAAAGTTAAATAAAAACTTTTTGGTTTTTGAGTTACAGGCCTTCAAAGTTGTCAAGAAATAAAAAAATTTAATTAATAACTTCATAATCCTTTTACCGATCGCGTTAAAATTTGACACATTTATTTGGACTATTATGGCGTATTATGTCTTAAAGCTTTAGTCAAATTGATATACTGGGTGATAGTTTTATCCGGTTACCTCTCCCTTTTAGTGATCACAACTTTTACAGTGTCGTATTTTTTAAATCGGGCAGCAACATTGAGAAGGTCGTTTTACTTAAAAACAAAATTGTCTAGAAAATTTCCTACAGAAAGCCATTCTTGAGAAAAATTGCATTATTTGCAGGTCTGTATGTTTCGGTTTGCGTAGCAGTGTCACAGATTTAAAACTTTAAATTCAGTAGAAGATGAAAACAAGATGTTGATTGCTGTGACTATCAGGTAATGTCATTATTGTCGTGTTTCTTTAGGATTCTCATCACTCCACACATGCAAATTATGAAGTATCCGCAGTGTATGAAGACAATTAAATGTTTGTAAAACTAATGTTCACAAAACTTTAAAAAAGCAACTTCTTCGACCATTTCATTAGCTCCTGCTCACGAACTTGAAAATTTAAATCCCAACGCACGTTTACAATTTTGCCGTTGATTGGTAAATGGCTTCGCAGAAGATAATAATTTGCTTCAAAAATTATTTTGTACCGACGAATCTTGTTTTACAAGGGCCGTCCATTGTAAATTTTCATAATTTTTTCATAAAAAGTTTTTATTTAACTTTTTTTTCATAGATCGTATTTATTTATCATCATGAATGAAGTCAAACGTTGTCAGTGAAATTTGCGGACATCCTGTATGTAGCATTCATATTATCATCAACAAAGTTTCTAGAAACAAATGGGCTCTCAGCACATTTTTGCTTCTTTAAAATCATTCAGACCTTCAAAAAAATTTATTTAATTTTTTTTTTTTTTTTCAATAAAACTTGTATGTTTCAGAGCAATCGAAAAAGAACAGACTTATTTGACAAGTGACAAGGGTGACTGATAATAACTAAAACAGTTTTTTTGACAATTTTTTTTGTTGGTATGGTATATGTATGAACATATTTTATGAAACCTCACTTCATTTTAAATAAAGAAAGGTTGACTTATTGCATATCCGTAAGATAAATCATTCCACAGAAAAATTTATTTCAATTCTCTTCTTCGGTTGGCAATTACAGGCAACTAAATTATTTGGGAGCATTTTAATCTAATTAAAGTTAATCTTTTTGATGAATTTGAAGTTTCATTAAATATTTTTTACGAATTAGACTAACTTACCTTTAATCAAAGTTCAACATCGAAAGAGATATAGCTTAAGAGCAGGGTTAATATAGTCACGAATTAAATTCAATGAAGGCAAGATCACTATATATCTAATTTTCAGAAAAAATATATTTTCTTATCGATTTAAAAGATGCTTTGATGTTTCTAGAATAAATGGGAAAGTTTTATGCCTGGAGAATTTTTTTTTTCTTTAAAATTCTAAGCTTTTCTAGGCTTGTCAGGCTGCTCTGAAATGACTACCTATGGCACATAGATACAGCCTAATGGGCTACTGTTTCATTTCTAACTTTTCTAATACTAACAGATGTCATTAGGAGTTCAATGTGTTCAATTAGAAGCATTTTCAAACAATCTTTTTTTGTCAAAAATTGAAATGCTCGACAATCACATAAAAATTAATGTTTTCAAAATCCCCTACATATTTCGCCTATTATACTCATGTAGATTAAGATTTTTTTTGTTTCTTCATATTCAAATTTCCTTCAAAAAAAAAAAAAATACTCGTTAAATCAGCCTATCAGAATAATACTTGCATTTTATAATTTGCAATTGTATGAACCCAACTTTAAGATGTAGTTTCACGAAACATTTATACTACCATACATATTCTGCTTAGTAAGTATTAGGTACGACCCTTAGTTTGCAAACACTCTGTATAAACAACTGAGCAATTTATGTGATTAATATTTTTATTCAAACAAATTAAATTAAATATTGTTGCAACATAAACTCAAGTTACATATAAATTAGTCGCATATATTAAGAGACATTGTGCTGTGCGGCATAATTTTTGTCAAATTCCTCCAACCATTTCTCATCCTCATCATCCGTTATAATCAGAGGATTTGCGTTTTCACTGAGATGTAGACGATCTCCATCAACTAATTCAAGTGAGCTCTTGTATTCCCCAGACTTTAAACTTTTTACCATGTAAGGGCCTTCTAACTCGTATCCCAATTTCCTGTAGTAATTTCTCGTCCCCACACCAGAAATCACGACGATTTTCACAGATTCATGCTCTTTGATGGCAATTTGCTCTGCCCAATTCATGAGCAACGCTCCAAAACCCTGATGCTGAAATTTGGTGTCATCTCGCCCACTTACAGGCACCACGCTTCCATAGACGTGTAATTCACGAACTACGGAGCAACCTCCTAATAATTCTGGGCGGTACGTTGTTTTCTCTGAACATTTCCTTAATCTGAAAACCATCAAATTACTAAACGTGACAATTATAGGGGTCTGCTTTACCTCAATAACCCCACAAGAATATCTTGTTCAGGGTCTTCGTAACTTAAAAAAGTTTCCCATCCACCATTAGCATAATAATCCCTTCTTATAGGTTCCACATCATTTGGACGAACTTTTTCGTGTATTTCTGTTATACCAACTTCTCTAGTTCTCACATCCCTACATTTTAAACCCAAATCCTTCATTCTGCTGAGTGCTAATTCCCTAAGGTTTCCATGCTCTACACCAGAACTAGAAATAACATCATTTTTTATATCTTTATATGTTAAAGCTAATATTCGTTTTGTTCGCGGTACCAATCCCGGACTAGTTCAGGATGAGTTTAAGCTTTGTTTAAATATGATCATTCGAAATTGGGACTAAGCTTGTGCTTGTGCCGAACATGTACAGGATCCCTACCGCAAACAAAGCTATTATCATAATTTTCATTTACCTGACCAGGGGCATAGGAATATCCCTTTGAACTCTATACACTCTAGTCCATGGAGGAACTAAGGCTAAAATTTTAGCAATTAAATCGACGAGAACAGAAGGCGGGTAACTCTTGTAACGTCCAGTCTTCCATAATTCATATAGACCGGTTCCTCTAATAACTAAAGTGGGGTAAATTTTTAAACCATCAGCTCTAAAAGCTGGATTTTCGAAGAATTCCTATAATAGGTCAAACATTTATAACATAAAATAAAATTATTATAATATAGTTACAATAAATTGCTCAATATCCCTTTCTAGATCAACATTGGGTAAATCTGGCATCATATGGGCAACGACTTTAAATCCAGCATCTTTTGCTAAATTAAATGTGTCACAAACGGCTTTAACAGTATGTCCTCTATTAGTGTCCAAAGCTACATCTTCATACACAGATTGAACACCTTAAAAAATATATAGGTAATACCGATCACAAGAAAATTGAGTATAACAGTTTGTCTAAATTCAACATTTTTATTGTTATCAGTCACTTTATTGAATATTGAATATTAAAATTTGAAGTTAGCGACCTCTAGCAAAGGCTCAAAAACTAATAACACTGACGCGTTTAAAACTCCACAAAACCTTATATGTACCATATCAAATTTTATTGCATTAGATTGTTTTGTGGGAAAAGATATGGAGAAAATTTGATTGAAAAAAATTATTTTAGACGACCTGTACCTCAAAAACAAAAGATGATAGGCCCATAATCCGTAGGAAAATACAGTGAAAATTGGTTATAATGGCATTGCTTTATACGACCTATTGGATATAACGACTGAATTTGGAGGTCCCGATAAAATTCTATAGAAATATCATATTAAAAATATCGTTTACTTCAATACCGTTTACAACATCTCGGATTTACCATAGAATCTATCGGTTATAGCGACCAATGGTGAAATACGGCATTAAAACTTAAAACCAATACACCGCTCTTTGCCTGCCCTGCCGGCATCCACGCTTTTGACACCAGTTAGTACGTTTAGGACAAATTATGACTTATCTACACATACAGTTATATTATATGTATTAATTACCACTTTCTATCACAATGTCGAAGAGAACAGTGTTTAATAAAGAAAAATCACAAATAATATGGAGACTAGAAAACGGAAAAACTAAGCAAGCATAACAAAAAAAAGTGACGAGTCACACTAAGATTTCAATAATTTAGAAGAATAGGAATAAAATAAAGTCTATTCAAAAACAATTCACTAAAAATGAAGCAAGCGAGATCTGAACATAAATCAATACATATACATACTTGAAGATTTATATTGTAACTTTCTCATTTTTTCAATAAAAATTTTAAATAATATATATAATTGCTTATTACGTCTATTGGTTATAACAACCGTAAACAAACGGTCCCTTGAAGGTCGTTATAACCGATTTTCACTGTATATTCTTATTTTCCTGATATTTCATCAGCGTTTGAATTTACTCTACTACTCTACTCTATAGTACTCTTTTCCAAAACATCATGTATACAGAGAAACGAAACAAAAATATTCATGTAAAAGAGACAGAAGACTTTTATGTTTTTTCAATGCCACTTCTAGTAGCAATAAAAAAGTTGTTGTTCAGTATTTCAACATTGTTAATTTTCTTTGCAGCTTAATTGGAGCTTAATTTAAACAAAACATATTTCTGTGAACTATATTTTTTTATACTCTAAAACTTACCTATTTCGAGTCTGGTACAACCATACTTCAGCATATCAGACAAATGCCTTTCTAAACAATAATCTGGCCTCGTTTCTATAGTAATACCAATGCATTTTGTATTAGATCTCTCGGAATATTTTACAGCTTCTTCAACAGAACTACTTTTATGGCCTGACAGCGCATCATGAAGATTCCTAATAAAATAATCACGGTAATCCTCTGGTAAGCTCATAAAAGTTCCCCCCATAACAATAAATTCGACTTTATCAACGGAATGTCCTAATTGTTTTAGTTGCTCCAATCGATGTCTCGTTTGCAGATAAGGATCATAACGAGCCCTTATTGCCCTCATTGAAGTAGGTTCATAACCGGTGTAACTCTGAGTGGAATATTCGAAATCAGAATCTGGACCTCCTGGACAGTATACACAAATATTTCCAGTCATATTTATATGCGGACATCTATGTGGTTTGCACATTACTGCTACTACTGCAATCTACAAAAAAAAGCATATTTTATAACATGGTTCAAAATATCTGTTACAACTTACACCACTGGCGGTTCTAATAGGTTTCGCCATTAGTTTTGGTACTAGAAGTTTCTTATAATCTATTGGCACTGCTGCGATAATATCTACCAATCGAGGTGTTGTCTCAATACCATATTTTGAGGCAATTTTATGTTTCAAAGCATTTAAGTTGACATCTTTCTTATTTTGTTGTGCTTTAATTAGCTCCTGGACAACTTCTGCCACTGTAATAACTTTTCTTTCCTCGAGCGTGAGATGATCAAATTCTAAAAAAGGCAAATTCCGCATTTACATTTTAATAAAAAAACATTGAATAATAATTTTTTTAATGTATCACAATTTTACACACAATATAAAAAATGAGCCCCAACTCACCATTCCTCTTTCGAACCATGATGGTGCTTATAATGTATGATTACAACACAGCTGATAAGTTAAAAAAGTTATTAGTTGTACAGTTTATACGACGAATATATTTCATAAATACTTTCTGATAATTTCTAAAGTAAAGGCTCGTTCATTTACAACATAAAATACATATTTTATGATAAAGTAAGGTTAGAATGTATCACATCACCAAATGTCAGTTGTCACATTTTTGTGAAGTTTCCTGTAATTCTAAATAGGTAATTGATAATTCAAACATTCTTTTAAGGGTCGCCACCGTCGTACTTCATTCACGATGCGCAATTCTCGATTGTTTTTAGCATTTTTCTCAGTTAGCAAATGGCGTCCTAAGAAGCAGTGTACTAAATTTTTCTACCTAGCTCATGACTGAATGTTCTTACGTGTTATAAAACTTAAAATTTTTGTATGAAATGTACTATCCAAGGTATGTTTTTTCAAACTAAATCTAATCCACAACAGATCAGATGTTAACTACCGTTTGATTTGTATTAAATCATTAAACAACACAGATTTATAACAAAAACAAAGAATGAACGAAGAAATAGACGTTAAAGTAACTCCAGAGGAAAGGCCTTTGTGGCCTCCTCTTGAACATAGTGCAGTTCAGATACCTCCTCAACATATGCCAATTCCTTCTCCTCAAGGAGCACCTCTAAGCCACGGCGTAGAGTATGAGCTTCCCTTTGAATTACAGCAACAAGGGTGGAAAAAATTTTGGTCCAAGAGAGAAAACCGCCCTTATTTTTGGAATAAATTGACTGGAGAAAGTTTATGGGAAATGCCTATGGTTAAACCGCAGCCACATTTTGATCCTATAACCGATCCGCTTGGCATTTGTGCTCCACCTCCCCCTGCACCTGTTATTCCTGTTGTTCATATGCCTAATACCTCTGTTCCCGTTCCCGTAGCCAAACGAAGAGCTTCTGAAGAAATAGGCGGACCACAAGTTAAAAAGTTCGTGTTAGCGGGACCCTGGGACTTAGATGTTCCGACGAATGTGATTATACTTGAACGAGCTCCATGTTCATATATGCATTCTCATCCGGAAGTCGAAGCTTATCGATGTAGTTTGCTTGCCAAACTGAGACAGTGCTATCAGGAATTATGTCATTCTAGAGAATCAATCGATGCACCTAAGGACTCCTTTAATAGGTGGCTTATGGAAAGGAAAGTTATCGATACAGGTTAGACGAACTTTTTATATTATACAAGTATTACTGAGATTGCCAGATGTCCATTTTCAGCAGAAATATGACTTTTAGACCAAATCTCTGTCCCCCAGCTGAGATTAAATTTTTCGACTGAATTGAAAAATGCAAAAAGACGTCTTACACCTTGCAAAGACAGTAATTGCTTATTAAATTGTAATACATATTATTAGAGAGGTAAAAGTAAGGGCTGACGCCCACAAATTTTGACGTTTGTAGACTATCAGGGTACAGGGGGCGTTGCGATCAATGCCCTCAGATCTGATGAATTAAGCGTTTATTATTATTTATTCCATGTATCACCCTACTGTAAAAGTTCAAGTAACAAATTGCCTGTCGATGGCAGACTTTTTTAGATCTGACGATGTTGACCACGCTATTCCTGGCTGCGTTTACCAAAACCGGGCAATGTTAACAATGATACAGATTCTCTAGTCCTGTATATCTAACGATTATAAAACCTTCCTTGCTAAACTATTGGGAAATTTAAAAAATCTTATTTTTTTTCAAGGTTTTAAATTTAATTAAATTGTTACTGAAAAAATTACGAGATAAAATGTATACATAACTTCAATAGTTTTTCAATTGCAAGTTAAAAATTTACTTTTTTTGTATAGAAATTTGTCAAATGTGAATTTATATATTCTTGGTAACGATAACTTTCATTCTTGACTTAACCATTAGAAAATAGTCGGACTATAGAGAAGCAACAGAAATACAGAAAAGTCTAAATAATTTGAATCTAGAGGAATATTTAGAACTACCTAGAATTTGGATATATATTTAAAAATCAGGCACTGAAATTCAATTCAAATCAAGGGACTTAATTTCCAGTTTCACATATTCTACTGAAAAAGGGAGAGATATGTCTCTCAAGACAAAATAAAAGTCTAAACGAACAACATCAACGGCAATCAGCCCAGAAATTGTCCAGCCATTGAAAGCTGCCATGGACACCTATAAAACAAATAGTATATTGTTTAATAATTACTGGTCTACTTGTTTAATGCATTTTATTAGAAATTATCTGTTTATAGGCTATGACCCTCTTTTACCAAGCAACTGTTATCCTGAAGTCTCATTATCGATGTACAAGGAAATAATGAATGATATACCTATAAAATTAGTTAGACCAAAATTTACTGGAGATGCCAGGAAACAGTTATCAAGATATGCAGAGGCAGCTAAAAAGATTATGGAATCTCGAAACGCAGAGGCTGAAAGTAGGAAAGTTGTAAAATGGAACGTCGACGAGACATTCCAGTGGTTGAGGAAAACTGTAGGGGCGACATATGACGACTTTCAAGATAGGCTGGCCCATCTGAAACAGCAGTGTCAGCCCCATCTTACGGAAACCGTAAGCAAACGTTTTATCGCATTTAACAGATGATAAGACAGGGCCATCACTTTTATGTTTTTACGATTTTTAGGTAAAAGCATCTGTTGAAGGAATCTGTTTAAAAATATATAATCTGTCAGTAGAATATGCAAAGAAGGTAAAAGAGAAATCCAACGCTATATTAAAAGAACACGGAATGGAGTTACCCCCGCCAATGTCAATGCACACCACACGAAAAGTGTGGTGTTATCCCGTTCAGTTTGCCATTGGCTGTCCAAGACTGCCAGTCGTTGAATATCTGCCCGACAGGGATCAAGCTTTGCTTAGATTTCAGGGAGATACCCTTGTTATTAATAGTACACACTTGCAGAAATTGGTAAGTAACGTTGTTTATTACAGAATTGAAGTACGCTCCCCCACTAGTCTAAAAACCAAATTTGTGTGTATAGTTACAGTTGCGATTGCTTCTAATTTTGAATTTTTACTATTTCTGTAAAATGTTAATGCAATTTTGGAATAGTTCAGAGTTAATCAACAAAATCTAATTTCTGCATGTCCTAAACGTTGTCGACAATTTGTCAATTTGTGGCAGATTTATTTCCATTTTCACAAAACTTTTAATAAAGGGGGTGATTCGTTATTTAGATCATATCAGTGGCGACTCGTCAGATGACGCAAGTAACGCACCGCTTCACCTAAAATTTCCGTTTGGTTGTGCAATTTAAAATTATTTTTAATTTTATATAAATTTTATAATTTAGGTATAATTCTATATTAAAAATGTATTGTGTTTGTTTGTTTAATACGCAGAAATAAACATAATAGTTGCGCGGAGAACGCCTTCTAAAAAACATTGCCTTCGTTGAGTGCGATCATCAACCTCATACCGTACAACGTTTAGTATACGCAAGTGATGCAGATCGAATCAGTCTGAATTCCGCTTCTCTTCGAAGCATGGTTTATGGCAGTTGTCATGGCAACGAGGCTGCCAACATGGGAGAAAATTACGGCTTGGGGGAGCGAGTGATGCGGATATTGAAGCAGCATTCAGCATTGTCATCGGCATCACGGCATTGCCCATCGCCTGCCTTTAACCAGTTTATACAATACCCGTCGCCCAGTGCTCGATTGTAACTGTTCTTAGGTAATATTTGTTTTGTATAATAATTGTAGAAATGTTTCCTATTTATGATCCAGTATGTATTTTATTGGAAACGCCATTTTCCAGGTGGCAAATTGGGGACAAAAAGGAGCCGAACTAATATTTATATTTTTTATAAAATCTAAATGAAAATGCTTCTCACCAACGTCAGTTTTTCGGAAATATTGCAAATGCAACTAACAATTTTCTATGCCAGTTCTCTCAGTAGCTCCACGATCGGTGTAGTAAAAATTCAGTGAATTCCTACCTTTATTTAACTAATCTACATCAATTCAAATTATCTTTGGAATTATTTGCATATTTGCAATATTATTGGAAAAATTTAACACTGTATTTTAAAAATTAGCCAGTTTTCTTAAATTTGTCTGAAAAATCACTCCCTTTATTATCGGGAAGTTTTAAAAACCATACTGTATATACAAAATACACAACACTAGTCAAAACTGTCTTTTATTCCCACAATACTGCTACCAGAGTACAAAATTTCAGCGTTTTATTGCAGATTATTCTGATTCTATATTACTACTTTTTTTCCAACCCAAAAAATCAGTAGTATCGGTAGAAGTTGGTGGAAGAGATAACATCACAGATACTTTCGAACGTACACGTTGTCTATTGGTCTCACGCAATTTAAAAAATCCTTTTTGTCCTCAATTTTCCATCTGGAAAATTGAGGACAACGAAGGCAATGTTTTTTTAGAAGGTGTTCACGCCCAACTATTCTGTTTATATCTGCGTATTAAACAAACAAACACAATACATTTTCAATATAGAATTACACCTAAATTATAAAATTTATATAAAATTAAAAATAATTTTATATTGTACAACCAAACGGGAATTTTGTATGAAGTGGTGCATCACCTGACGAGCCGCCACTAACCTATTTATATTAATGTGGCACAGATACTTTTTATATTCATTTCGAGTTATAAATAAAGTTTTTAATGTTAACAGGGTACGATACCTAACACATGTAAAAATGCTAAGGCAAATTTAAAACTCACGCCATTGTTTTGCTCTTCGTGCTTTTGCCATATTGTTCACTGTCGTTTACATACCAACGAAACGCAATTAAAGACATGTTGAAATACAAATATTTTAGAGGCCCCAAATTTGGTAATTGTAACATGACAGATTACAGAGAATAGGTGAAGGCGCTAAATGGCAAGAGTAAAGTAAGCAATGCTGTACTACAATTCGATGTCATCTATTTCATTGGTTACTGCTAGTAAGACAAGTGTTTTATATGCCTTGATTGTCTTTTTAAATACTTTCCAGAATCTTAAAAATCCCAAAGAAAAAACTGCAGCTCTAGTTTTTTCAGTATTATAAAATAAGCAAATAAAAAAAAATTAAGATGTGTAAAAAATTAATACTCCTCATTTCAGGAACATTTATACAGGCATAGCTGCTTCGATGATAGGAAATTTGAACTTTTCATACCCAGGGTCTGGGTCATGCTGAAGAGGTACGCCACCTTCCTGGGATTAAACCCGTCATCGAATAATGCAAATTCAGACGTTCAGGACACTCAACAATCCCTTCCAGTCACGGTATTCGAATGTCTCAATCGAACTTTCGGTGTTACATTCGAATGCTTTGCCTCACCACTGAATTGCTACTTCAAACAATTTTGTTCCGCATTTGCGGATTGTGATTCATATTTTGGAAGTAGGGGGTAATGATTATGATTTAAAAAAAAAGCAAGTATATTCAATTAGGTTTTTAGGTCTTTTTTACAATTGAAAGCCGTGTCGGGTTCTTTCGAGGCCCATCCGCCTTACAGTGAGGAATTGATGGAAGCTTCCGTGAATCACATGGAACGATTGCTTGGCGACAGCCCGGAACCTCTTAGTTTTGTAGTTCTTATGCCCGATTATAGAGAACCTACACCCAGCGCACTTGAACGGCTCGAATCGAGTCAATTTAAAAGGAAACAAGTGACTATACCTGCCTTTGAACATGAATTTCGACACGGATTTCAGCACGTTTTAAATAAGTGAGTAATATTTATTTTAAAATTGTCATTTTGGTATTTACATTGCCATAATCATCTGATATACTCCAAGTCCGAGATAGTAGGTAGTGAGTCACAAATCAAACCAAAATTTTAACTAATGTTCCGATAATATGTTGACCCTGTGCTCTTTCTCTTGGAAAGTTTTATTGTTCGTAGCCAATTCAATGTTTGCTTATCATGTATAAAAATATATACAAGTGGATTGCATGTTTTGACCTCATGAAATCTCCCCTGTCCCATTTTCTGTATCAGTGCATGTCATAAGCGTACAAGTGGGACATATTTTCACAATTATTCCAATAATTAATAACAATATAGACTCCAAAGTTTGGTAAGATTTAAACATCGGTACCAGCGTTTTTAGAAGTATTTTCTACAGAATTAAATGCACCCTCTAGGAAAGAACAGCATAATATATTCGAGTCGTGACGAACGGGAGGATATGAAAAGTGGGTTGTTTTAAAAATTGTTTACATCTGTTTTGCCTTTCATTGAATCTGACACAGTGATTGTCATGGATAATAGGTCTTATCATAGTCGACTAATAGAAAAATTGTCAACATCTGCATGGAGAAAAGGAGAAATCCTGAAATTGTTGAATGGAAAATATACAGAATATAAATATACAATGTTATAAATGTTATTAATTATTAGCAATTGCACAAAAAAAAAAGAAAATCAAACACACGTAGATGAAATGACTTCTTCGATTTTAGTGGTTTTATATATTTTGTCGCCTTACCTATAAAACTTTTTTCGTAAGAGTTATGTTTCCTTGTATTTTAGATCAGAGCTAAACGTTCGATCAGTGCACGGCACGGTTATCGTTTGGCTGCAGAACAGTGCTGGCCACCAAAGGTGGGAGCCCTCCGAGGACAGGGTCCAGGCGCTCTTGGAGGCCTTCAGGCCCGGGAGGGAGAGAGAGCGTGACAGACAGGAACTACTGAGTCCGACGAGGCAAGGCAGCACATCTGACAGCAAGGATGTGCTTGTACATTAATATGTTCGGTTCATATTGAACTCGAAATATCTGACTGCGATCACTTTTTATTTATACGTTATTGTAGTAACCCTGTTGCGATCTGAGAATGAAATTGAATTTACCGCATTTACAATTTCATTTCTTTATGTATAAGGAATTCAGTCGTGGTTAAATGACAACAAAAAGACGCTTAAGAAATTAGAAATATTGTGATGCTAAATTTTTTATTTTAGTATCGGTACTAAAAAACATATCAGTTTAGTCAAAAAAAAAAAAGCGGCTTTGTAGCAAGTGTCGTGTTTCGCATGTTGTAAATTTTTGAAGGTCATTTTGTAATAATTTATTTTGATATTGTGATTCTTCTCGAATTGGTGCGAAACACATTTAAAGAAAGACACTGAAATTCAGCTTGTTTTATTGAGAATGAGAGATTCTTGAAGAAGAAAGATGGAAAGATTTGAAAAAAATCTTTGAATTCTAGTGATATTTCAAGAACTGTTCATCAATCAAATTGAAAATTTCAGCAGTTATGCATTTCAAATAAATATCATTGGTAGAGAACGCTAGTTACATCTTACTGGTGGAACAAATCTAACCTGAACATTTCGTTTTTTGACATATTGGAAATTCAAACAAAAAAATATGTAACCACTAATGTTTATTAAAATTTTTTTACTAGCTCACAGTAAAAAAAAAACAATGATTACACAACCCCACAAAAAAAAAAAATTCTGTGCATTGAACTAGACCACTATATCCTTATGTTTTCGAGGTTGCTGAGTCCAAATTCGAGATCCGTTTGACCTTGTCAGGTCATGTTAATGGTCATTTCAATGTCAAACCGAGAAAAATCCCCTATTGTGGCAACCATGATTATTATAAGCTTTTGGGGTCGCTGAGTCCGAATCCGAGGTTCGTTTGACCTTGTCAGGCCAGGTTAAAGGTCATTTCAAGGTCAAACCGAAAAAATCCCCTATGGTGGAGGCATACATGATTATTATATGTTTTTGGGGACGCTGAGTCCGAATCCGAGGTTTGTTTGACCTTGTCAGGTTGTCGTCAGTGTCTTCTGAGTTTCGTCTGCTGTTCTGGCAATGTCAGCGTCAAAGAATAAAAGTGTTTTTATTACTCATAAGGGATAAGTCCTATCTTTTCACATATTCTTTAGGTCGGTAAATAGCAGTTTGCTTACTCTATTTGCGTGCGGTAATTACACTTATCGCCGGTGAATTGACAATAAAACACGAAAAATTTAAATACGCACTCGAAAATATTATTTTTAAAAAGACATTTAAATGACAGTTATTTATGTCAATCTAAACTGAATAAAAGTCTGTGGACCCTACCGGGGCTTCGCCCCTGGACCATAAGATTGCACCGCATTCGTAGTAAAAAATAGTATGTGCAATTCGTGCGGTTGTCTACTGCCCACTTGACCGGATGAGCGCACTTAATGCACAATATACTATTTCTTTTTTTAAATAAAGTGTAATTATCGCCTTAAAAAACATGACCGTTGAAGTTTTCAGCTTAATTGATGAAACGGTTGTCGAAACATCAAAGTTTTTATTAAACCCTGGCATCGTGTGGATTGAAAAAGAGCGACATTTCGTTAAAGCATATTTGACTAAACGTAAAATATGCCATCAAATTTTAGTATAATATACAAGGAAAGTTTGAAATATGAAAATTTCCTACAAATTATTGTTGCACATACTTAACTGATCATGGTATGAAAACGTGATAATAAGGGATGTAGAATTATTTTGTAATATGCTATTGTTACCGATTTAAAGTTTATAAAAAATCTAATTTTTAACATTTAATTGTTCTAAAATAAGTAATATATTTTTAGAGATTTTTCTAATATTGTTGGAAGGAACAAAAATTGTGGATAACTAAGGACAATGATAAAAACGTACTATACCTAAATTTCCTTAATCATTATTCATTGGTTAAACTCTGTTAGAAAAAAATGAGATATGAAGAGACCCATTATATTTAATTTGTACAACATGTAAACGATCAATTAAAACTGTGCAATATTCATTTCTTTAACTTAATTTTTTCCAGTCCATAATATTTTTTTTTAGTAGTGAACATTTATTTAAAAAAAAAATCAATTATGGATATTTGTATTTTGAATTTACCAAACCATCAAGTTTGATTATGGTTCAATTTGTAATTTAAAATTTTGGGCTTGTTTACAAATATTAAAATAAAAATAATGTTAATGTGACCTTTAATGAAGTGATTAATTTAAAAAAATTGTCATCATCCCTTTTTCTGCGAAATTGTATAAAGGTAAATCGTGTTAAAGTTTTCGTCAGAAGGTGGGCAAGTTATAATAGTGTGATACTTCAATTTTCAATATGTACCCACACCTGGAAAGGCATTATCGGCTAATGGCATCGACTGGCGAAGTCTAACACATCAGGTTGGCCAACTTGGTCTATGAATGATTAGATTTACAAATACATAGCTCTTCATTTTCACTTTGAATTAGTGGTCAAATATTTTAGATTTGATGCGACCTGTAATTATAGCTAGTACAAAATACTCCGACAAATTAAAAAAATATTGTATTGTACGATAGCAAGTAAAAAATCTTGCCATAACGACAAATGTCCGCAGCACATCAGTTCGGCCAAAATGTGTCTTCCTTTGTGGGTACCTAATGCATCCTGATGAAATTGAAGACTAGTATCTTTTTTTGTTTAATTTCTTAAATACTTCGTTATTGATGGCAAAGTATAATTAAAGAATATATTGTAGCTCATTTAAAGGTAGGTAGTCACCGTGTGACAAGTAACTGAAAAATATAGTGTTCATGTTTAAAAAAAAATGTAATTAATGTTATATTGAATAGTATGCAGTTCATAATACAACATTTCACTAAATATGTTACTAATTGAAAATATTTCTAATTTTTTAAGCATTTGTTAAAGATCTTGTCTTTGCTATTATTTTTTTTAAGTAAATATTCAAAAATGATTACAATTGGATACTTGAAATTTTAATAATACTCGTAACGAAAAGTCCCTATCTGAAAATATTTAGAGTATGTGATTCATGGAAGTTTTTATGGTTCCCGTGCAGGGTTAAAAGTAAATTTTATTTTTTTATATAAATTTTTATTTATACTTTATTATATTAACCGCTGTAATTTGAAAAGTGCAAAACAATGTTTTAGAATTTAAAACACATTAGTTGACCAAAACATCACTTATTATCAAGGTACCTGAAAATTTTGTGTTAAGTATTGCCAGTTTATTTCTTTTAAAATGTATCTTATTCGGTTACTATATCGATCGATTTTATATCTCATGTATATAGGAGTTTATATGTATTATAAATATATAAATATAGATGAAATTTTATTATTGTATAAGATTTATGTATTAAAAAAATATAGTTATTTTATATTTTGCTTTGTAAAAAGCATATTTAACTAGTAACAAGATAATTTGTTGTGTAATTTTACTGCTTGTTTTATATTTTGAATAAGATAGGTTTTCTAAGGTTTTAGTATTGACAGATTAAAAATATACTGCAGTACACGAAAAAAGTATCCTTTTTGAGATTCTCCTAAATGCCTAACTTATTTCCCCAAACATTAGACGGTTGCACAAATGAAGAAATGTTTGCCGCTCGTTTTTTGGATTTAAGTAGGGCAATAATAGCATTGTTGCTAGTGCATTAGAAACAGTTTGCAATGGACCAAGGCAATTTCATTTGATTCGAATTAATGAATTTTGAACCAGATGTAAGCATTATATCGGAATGTGCATGAGTCCAACTGTTGAAAACTGTTTTGGATTGCTCTGGAAACAAAGCTCGGAGAAGCAGTATAGGCAAACATTTAAAAAAATATACCTTCAAAATAGGTAATTAAAAATAAATTAATTTCATTTCTTAAACAACCCTTTTGAATAAATAGATCTACCATGAATTTGTAATTATGCATTAGAATTTTCTACCAGGGAGACTAGACGAGGAGTACGAACTCATATGGGAAAATTGGCAAAATTTGATAATGTAATAGTATACATTACTTCTACTCTTTGCCACTAGGGTTGCTAGTGTTCCTTGTGCATTGACATTTTCATTACATATTTATTTATTTATCTAATTCAAAGTAAACACATTATTTACTTTAAAATTTTTAACACATCAAAAAAACGACACGATTAATTTTTAATTCAAACTGCCGCTTTTCATCATCTCCCCTCCACTATTTCGGGGTATGTGGGATACTAGCGCACTCTAATTTGATTTGTTTACATGCAGTTTGTACTCCTTGAGTAGTCTCCATGGTTTCTACAGTAACAGCACAGCACAAAACAAAACAATAGTGACGACCCGGCGAAGCAAGAAGAGCGCCAGAAGAAAGGGCCCTAGCCGGCGGGGCCCAGCCAGGACAAAAGGAGGTCCCACAAAGCGCCAACACCGGCCGCATTTGCGGTCGGGGTAGACGACGGNATTCTCCTAAATGCCTAACTTATTTCCCCAAACATTAGACGGTTGCACAAATGAAGAAATGTTTGCCGCTCGTTTTTTGGATTTGAGTAGGGCAATAATAGCATTGTTGCTAGTGCATTAGAAACAGTTTGCAATGGACCAAGGCAATTTCATTTGATTCGAATTAATGAATTTTGAACCAGATGTAAGCATTATATCGGAATGTGCATGAGTCCAACTGTTGAAAACTGTTTTGGATTGCTCTGGAAACAAAGCTCGGAGAAGCAGTATAGGCAAACATTTAAAAAAATATACCTTCAAAATAGGTAATTAAAAATAAATTAATTTCAATTCTTAAACAACCCTTTTGACTAAATAGATCTACCATGAATTTGTAATTATGCATTAGAATTTTCTACCAGGGAGACTATACAAGGAGTACGAACTCGTACGGGAAAAATTGACAAAATTTGATAATGTAATAGTATACATTACTTCTACTCTTTGCCACAAGGGTCGCTAGTGTTCCTTGTGCACTGACATTTTCATTACATATTTATTTATCTAATTCAAAGTAAACTACATTATTTACTTTAAAATTTTTAACATCAAAAAAACGACACGATTAATTTTTAATTCAAACTGCCGCTTTTCATTATCTCCCCTCCACTATTTCGGGGTATGTGGGATACTAGCGCACTCTAATTTGATTTGTTTACATGCAGTTCGTACTCCTTGAGTAGTCTCCATGGTTTCTACAGTAACAGCACAGCATAAAACAAAACAATAGTGACGAGCAGGCGAAGCAAGAAGAGCGCCAGAAGAAAGGGCCCTAGCCGGCGGGGCCCAGCCAGGACAAAAGGAGGTCCCACAAAGCGGATGACGGATGGGGCCCACCTACGAAGGCTGTCCAGGCCTACAGGAGATGAGGCAGGAAAAAGAGAGATAATCCCCCTCGATCCCAAATCATTGAGGCCAATTTCTAGCCATGGAATAATGGCGCGAAATGAAACAACTGTCCCTAACTATACTCCGCGGTAGAAATTATAGAGAGTGACTCAGACATAATATAAAAACACTATTACTATAACGCGTATAAAATATAAAATGATTTTTATAACAGTTCAATATTATTTATCGTTGTGCCGCTCGCTACGCACGTCGGTAAAATCTCTAATCGTCTATAGACTGAGTTACACTGAACGTCGATCTATATTCTATCTCTGTCTTTTGCACTTGGTAGGGAATAGAGAAATACTTTTTTAGTGGGTGTAAACGGACTTGATTTACCCGTCCTGAGAAACGTCATAGCATAAGCGTAGACGAGGTGTCTAATTCCGTGGCTATAATAAATTTATAAATTAAAAAAACACAACTGGGACGTTTTAAAATGCTGTAATAATTAAAATGGATCAGTGCCGGTTATAGCAAAGCGTAAAAAAATATTAGATGTTATGTTTTATTATATTTTTTCAATATTTTCTATATCTTGTTGCCTTTTACGCAGACACGCCAATGGATTTTCGTTCCCGGCACGCTTCATCCCCCTTACTAGTCCAAAAGCTAGCGATGAATTACTCTATAATTTCTACCGTGGAGTATAAGAGTGTCCATTTTTATTTCATATGATCTTATATGAAATTATATCCACGAGCGGCTCATCAAATTGGGTCTCTTACAGTCTTACCTACATGTACAGGGTGTCCGCAAATTTCACCGACAAAGTTACCGCTATCTATCTACATTACTGTGACTAAATACTGAAAGTATTTATTTATAGGATACTATCCTTTAGTTTCACCACAAATCAATAGAGATTGCTGCATGTTACAATTTGTCCTTTTTTGACCACGTTCTCATTTTATTTTTCTAATTACTTTTCTATTCTATAATTTTGAATATCTAATGTTTCTCATTCCGTTTTGTTTTAGAGTTTTGTGGTTTCTTTCACGGCGTTGAAAATTGTGTTCTGAGTTTTACTAGTACTTTCAATTCTCTGTGCGATTTTAGTGCTTTTTTTTGTTTTTGTAGTTTCAATGGAGAAATTCTAAAAACTGTCCGGTTGTACCGGTCATGTCCGGGTAGGTACTTAGCTATTACATCGGGCGGATTTTTTATCCACGTCCGGAACTGGTCTATCGACATTTTTAATGTTGGAAAACAGGACAGTATTTCGCTTCCACTGATCTTTGTTTATAATCTGTGAGTGGGGAGGGTAGTGATAGAATGGCTTAAGTTAAGCGTCGCGCTGCAACACGTTGCGGCATTGCTCCACTCAGTAGTTTGCCTTTCCCGCGTTTTATTTCAATATCAGAAAATCACGGAATTTTTCTTTTATTACTTTCTATTTCTACTTAAGTTGTATATTATTCGGTAATAATACCTTTGTCACAAACGATATTTGACCGTGATACCCAAAGCAAGTGCACGCATTTTTGTTTGTTTATTTTATGGTACTTATTACGTTGCTAACATTAGCAGTGTTTTAATTACCTGAGATCTCAGTTAATCTTACCTAATCGACCAATCAGCATTCAGAATAGCTGAGATTAGCTGGGATTTAATCTAATAAAAAATAAATAAAACACCCCTATTGTCACGTTTTAGTTGTTTTTGCAAAATATTTTATAATTAAGTATTTTTTATTTTTCCAATAATAAAATATATCAATATATCTCTTAAGTTTTTGTAAATAGTAAAATTGCACTTCATTTGTTATGTCCCATACCCGTTAGATATGTGCCCCTACGAAATTGTCATCTCATCAAATATTTTGCAAACCGTCATGGGCGTAACTATAGGAAGGCAGGGGTGTACACAGCCCACCCCAGAAGGCCCAGTGCTCACCCCAGAAAAAAAGATCCAATGTCATCTTTCTCATTTCGGTACGTGACCTTTTATTTTAGAGTCAGTGTTTAGATTTTGACATTTTACATCGGTCGCTGATTGCGTGAAATATTTTTGAGGCCTCTATAATAGAGCTTGCACCCACCCCAAGAAAAAAATCCTAACTACGCTCATGCAAACCGGGTCAATAGTAGGTACTTACATGATATTCGAAAAATATGATCAGATTTTGTCCAGATTATTTGGCAAATTTGTTCCAACATAATAAATACTGATCTGGTAACTCAGGAGTCTCAGGACATAGGTTATAGGTTATCCAAGATCTAAGACGTCACAGTAGGTACAAGAACTGCAGTAACTTTTTGCCGGTTTATACGAAATAAATATAAATTTTAACAAAAAAATTCTTTAAGTGATAAGTTTAAAACTATCTTTACAAGATCTGTCATAATTTCACAATGAATATGTCTACACTGATGAAAATCATCATCTTGTTAGTAACCTTTTATTAATATGAATTCGATATTTGGGCTGGATGCGAGTCATGGGTAATTTTATTATAGGCCTTGATTACAGGTTAAATGGTGAAAACTATTAATTTTACGTTTCGTGAAGAGTAAAAATTTTTGTATACAGGAAAACATCTTTAGTTTATTTTTATCTGATTTGTTATTATGAAAATATTTTCCAGTTCAGTATCACTTCTGCTTTAACTATGAGTGATAGAAATTATACCTCGCGCCATTATTCTATGGCTAGAAATTGGCCTCAATGATTTGGGATCGAGGGGGATTATCCCTCTTTATCCTGCCTCATCTCGTGTAGGCCTGGACAGCCTTCGTAGGTGGGCCCCATCCGTCGTCTACCCCGACCGCAAATGCGGCCNTGGGCTTTCTCATTTCGGTACGTGACCTTTTATTTTAGAGTCAGTGTTTAGATTTTGACATTTTACATCGGTCGCTGATTGCGTGAAATATTTTTGAGGCCTCTATAATAGAGCTTGCACCCACCCCAAGAAAAAAATCCTAACTACGCCCATGCAAACCGGGTCAATAGTAGGTACTTACATGATATTCGAAAAATATGATCAGATTTTGTCCAGATTATTTGGCAAATTTGTTCCAACATAATAAATACTGATCTGGTAACTCAGGAGTCTCAGGACATAGGTTATAGGTTATCCAAGATCTAAGACGTCACAGTAGGTACAAGAACTGCAGTAACTTTTTGCCGGTTTATACGAAATAAATATAAATTTTAACAAAAAAATTCTTTAAGTGATAAGTTTAAAACTATCTTTACAAGATCTGTCATAATTTCACAATGAATATGTCTACACTGATGAAAATCATCATCTTGTTAGTAACCTTTTATTAATATGAATTCGATATTTGGGCTGGATGCGAGTCATGGGTAATTTTATTATAGGCCTTGATTACAGGTTAAATGGTGAAAACTATTAATTTCACGTTTCGTGAAGAGTAAAAATTTTTGTATACAGGAAAACATCTTTAGTTTATTTTTATCTGATTTGTTATTATGAAAATATTTTCCAGTTCTGTATCACTTCTGCTTTAACTATGAGTGATAGAAATTATACCTAACACTTATTAGAACAAATTCGGTATTAGCAATTTTGCATTTTTTTTTTTGTTAAAATGAAGTAAGGTGCAATTTTTAGACCATACGAGGTTCAAATATAAGTTTTTTCAATTTCAATTACAAAATAAATTGCAATTTTTTAAGATAAAACATGATGCTATTTATTTACACTATTGTTTTGTCACAAAAATACACTTTTGAAGGGGATGTTCTTTATTTTTGGCAGTTCATAGTTGAGACAGTAATATTTTGAACTGTTAATTTGTTTGTCCTCAATTTTTTCCCTTTGTTCATCTTATAAGAGACTAGGAGAAATAAAATTACATAAAAATTCAATTAATATATGTTTTATTATATGAATCGGTTATCCATATACAGCTACATTGATGATAAAGGAATACAATAATTTATACCGGTGGTTTCAAAAACCCCCAGCTCAGACTTAGAAGTACAGTACACTTTTACATAATAGAAAAGGAAAACATTAAAAAACAATATAAAACACGACTACAACATTTTACACTATTCTCCAATCACATTGAAAAATAGAATAAAAATACTAACATTACGTAAAAATAAAAAATATGAGATGGATGCCACCTGCACGTAAACAGGCGACACAATATTGCAAAGGCCATAGCCCTAGGCACTGCCATGAGGTAAAACGTTGATTTCATACAGTCTTATCACAGAAAAAAACAAAAGTCCATTTTGTTGTTTTACAACAGAATTCACTGCCTATAAAAGTCTGTAAATTATATCAACAAAAAAATATAAAGCTTATTTATAGTACGATCATATTTGGTTAGTTTAAATAAATAGTTAAGAGGCTCGAGCATACTGGATTACGGAATTATACCGCACTGGGCAGGACAAGTCTATGGTGGCCTCCATGGATTTTAGGATCATTTTTGATCGCTTCCTTGGAGGCAAACTCAGCTCTGGGTCGGGGGCAGGGGACACTGGAGGAGACACTGAAGGAGCTGGAGAAACTGGATTAGAACTTGGAGGAGTTATGATCGCATCTTCTTCAGAATGATTCTCCTCGACAGCTAGCGCTGCTTCGACTCGTCGTCTTATATCATCCCCAGCGTTAAGTGGGGTATATTGCACGACAGGGGATGTAAAGTAGGCCGGACGAGTCAACGCAGCCACAACTTCCTGGGGATTTTTTATTAGATTAAATACAACGTTCGGGGAATTTCTAAATCTATCATCTTCCGTTACTGATGCGGCTGCTGCTAACAGTTCTACACCTGTTGTAGGTACCGCTGAATAGTTAGTTGGGCAGCTCGATGGAGACAAACGATCCCTTGTATACAGATAGTAATGGATATCCGAGTCGTAACTGGTTGGGTTCGGGTCTTTCACCACTGCAATCGGAGAATCTTTAAAGTTTTCCTTGTCGCTGCTGCTGGAACAAGACAGGTCAGATGTGGATGACGCTGGTGGTGTGGGGGGTTGAGGAGGAGAATTTTCAGAATGACTTTTGATGTGTGCCTCCATACTCTTCTTCGAATTGAATGTATCGTTGCATATTGTGCACTTGTAGACCTTCTCTCCATAATGGGCGACCTGATGGAGTTTCAATACGTGATTGTAACCAAATGATTTACCGCAAATCTCACAAGAGTAGGGTTTCTCCCCAGTATGCGTTCTGGAGTGTACCTTCAATTGTTTGCTGCAAGTAAAACCCTTTTGGCAGACCGTACAGACATAAGGCTTCTCTCCGGTATGCGTCCTCATATGGATCACCAACTGTCCGGACTGTATGAAGGTCTTGGAACATACTGAGCATTTATGTGGACGTTCTCCAGTGTGAATTCTCATGTGCCTGTGAAGCTTTCCGGAGTGTTCAAATGCCCTTGAACAAACCTCGCATTTGTAGGGCCGTTCTTTCGTGTGGATTCTCCGATGGACGCTCAGGTTTTCCTTGACGCTAAAACTCTTATTACAGAATTCACAACGGAAGGGTTTCTCTCCCGTGTGCGTGCGATAGTGACGAGTTAAACGAGCGGGGACTGCGAATGTCTTGGAACAAATATTGCAACGGTAGGGATCCTCTGCTTCTTTAGCGTGAGTCCGTTGGTGGGCTTGGAAAGCGGACTTTGAGGTGTACATTTTATTGCAGATTTGACAATGGAAATTCTCTTGTTCAATCTTGCCCGGAAATTCGGAAATGGGAAAATCGGGGCTGCACACTAGTTTTTTTACAGACAGGGTTTCTTCCGTGCTTCGGACTTGGGCTACAGGAAGAGAAGCTTCACTGTAATATCCCACCATTTCTGGCATTGACCAGGTTTCTGTAACAAAAATTGGAAATTGAAACATACAAAACAATAATAAAATAAACTAGAATCATGCAAATAAAACGCCATTTTCAAATTTCGTAATACATTTCCTTACAAGCATAATAATGTAGTAAATTAATTTAACTTTAGTTTATTTTCTGAAATATGTTTAGTGTACTGATTTACTTTTCATAATTAAAAAAATAATAAAACAGTTAAAAATTATTATTCTTTTTTAATATTTTGCGTCACAAAAACAAATTTAAAAAAAATATGTAATAAACAATCCCCGATTGATTCTTGTAATCTAATTTGCAAAGTACCATAACACCCAAAGAAATACTTCTCAATTTCCCTTATAAATATAATTTACCTTTTTAATATTTTAATGTGATAATTATGAAATGATTGACCCTTTTAAATAAATTTCAGATATTAAAAAATAAACTGGATTAAGTACATAAGTATTAAATATAGATAAACTGAAAAATTTTATTTTGAATATAGGTATTAATATAAATACGATTTTACACGCAATAATTTAAACTATCAGTCGCACTTATAAATAGCCAGCGAATATTTTTAATTTTAATTTAACTGCATTCAAAATCCTGAAAAACCCTTTGCCTTTCTGCGCAATAAAAGAAACGGCCATATTTATTAACACTTCAGAAAATCGTAACGGTACAAATATTTTTATTTTACGTTTTCCTTTTATATTATTTCACTAAAAAAAAACTTTTATGTAAAACCGCTTTCACAAATTTTAAGTCTTATAAAAGAACGCGCGAGGAAATTTACGCATCGGTTAGAAACCTATTCCGCCATCGACACCACAAATTTGAAAACAAGGACCAAGCGCTACGGAAAAAGCGACGAATTCACAAATACAAGAGCAAATTAAAAAAAAAACGCACCATTCTGTTCAGTCTTACATCTCATGAGCAGACTTTTGATGAAGTTTTCCTGAGCTTCGGTAAGCTTGTCGCCGTTTTGGGCCATCGCGTCACCACGGCGGACAAAAAGGCACTAACCCAAAGTTACGTGGAGCTGGGCCCCAAAGTGCAACACAGTGCAAGAATTGACAAGTGTGAGAGTGCGTTGGTTTCTGGCCCCGCCCTGTGCGTGTGCAGTGCGTGGGTGGGGGTAGATCTTTGGGTCGGTTTTTGACCCCACAGCCAAAAACGAAGGAACCGACACTACCAGGAGTCGTTGCACCCTCACTTTCAACGTCACTCGTATAGATAAAGCGATTGATATTAATGCCTGCACTATTATTGTACCAATCCCATCAGTTTGGATAGTTTTTATTAGATAACTGTACCAGAAGTTATGATTTTGCAACACTAACAATAACCGAGAATCGGTATAGACACTTTTGATGATAGATCAGAAAGTTAATAGAAATATATTTAAATATGAAAAATATTTATTCATATTACTGATATCGTCATAAAATTCAAAAAGAGCTAAATGCGAAATTTATAGAAGCCTTACCCAACTAATTCTGGTCTTTCTTTCTTAAACAATCAAATAAAACAGTGACACTTCACTTATATAAAAAAATTTAGTGATATTACAGTGATTTACATTGGTCGCCTTATACTTATTACTTTCGCAATTTTTTTCGAAATAGTACCCATTTGCGAAATTTGTAAAACCGTTTTTATAGATATGTTAGATAGGTGGTAGGTATAACAAACTTAATTACACTATCAAGTTTCAATAAATAGGCAAGTGGATGGAAGCAAAACAACGTAAATACATTAATTCTTGGAAAAAAGATTGAAGTTTTTGTGACGGATATTATTTGGGATATACGAAACCGTTTGGAATTTCCAAACTTAAATAACACAAAGAAACGTTAACTGTGAAGTACAGGTCGTTCTCGAATTCCAGTCTTTTTGTTGCATCTCTTATTTCGCGGAACAATTGTAATGAAGTTTAAATACTTAATACTTATCAGTATACGTTACAAAAAATGGTATCGTCTATTAACTTATTTTCAGGTCAAAGAACCCTGAAACGTTGATCTGTTGCAACGTTATCTTTATTTTTAAGCAGATATTTTGATATAATAAACACTTGTGTATTAGGTACCAGCCCAGGTACAAACGGAATTTGCTAAACTTGGTTTTATTAATTAGGTACCTATCTGTAAAAGTTTGTAGCAAAATGTCGAGGCAATATGCAAAACATACATCTAGTTTCCATTTGACAATAAACAATTGCTAGGACGTGAGTAGACGGTCGTCCTACTTTAAAATAGAAAATTAAAAACCTCATTGAAATGTCTACAGGTCAGTCTACTCAGTCTAGTCGGTCGTTTAACCGCGAATGTATTGCGTAAATTGGCCAACGAATATCCTGCGACTTAACTAAGGTCATGAAAAAATAAATTACCATTCTGAAAAATCCCACTGATAATAAGATAAATAATAGCGTTTGGATTTATTACAGTGCATGTATATCAATTGTTTACGACAAGAGAGCCGTTGTCTATTTTTAAATCATGTATGATTTTTAACTGAAAAACAAAGCTACACGAGGCGGCGATGCATTGAGGCGAGTGACTGGGCGATTTCAATCACGCGCTGCGTCGGCTTACGGAGGTCCATGTTTAATGTACACGAGCGTGTCCACCGCAGTCATTCGCCTCCACGTGGAGTTCCTCACTGCTTTTTTACAACGATCACCGACCTCGACAACTCACAGAGACGTAGGTCGTGCTTTAGGTCACCCCCGTCACCCCGCCGACACCCGTGTAGACCATCGGGAGAATCATATTATTTACTTAATGGCATTTTATATCAATTATAGTGATTTTTTTTACTGGCGGCTGGGTTTCTTTGAAAAATGGAAGATTGGTATTCAATTTGGAATATGACGTGGGAATGTTTTTTTTTTATTACAAAAATATTGCGAAATCAAACTAGATATTATTTTGGGCGATAGGCACAGGTAAGAATTTTCTAATTTTCTTGCCAACACTCGGTTCTCTTTGGAAAAAATGTAATACACATTTCTAATTTTACATTTAACACAATCACGTATGTACCTACGCGAGAACATGACCTACATAAATGTAAAACTGAAATCGACATTCCTTAAAATTTGAAAATGGCATTTGCAAAAACAAAATTAATTAAAAGCGTTCGTAACTTTTATTTACATAAATAAACAAAAGAATGTTACTTACCAAAGTCGATTCGGGATCACTAGAATTTCATTTTCAGTGAAATTAATAATTAAAACTAAATAACTAACAAGCTAATTTTTCGCACTACTACTATTTTCATAATAATATACAATATCAAGGGTCTATGTTTGTCATAAATGTATGTAAACTGTTCAGTTTTCGAAACAAATTTTTATTAGGACCACACTTACGTTGGGCTAAAATCAAACTAAATGTTTACCTCCTCTTCGTTCGGGCGGTGCGGCCGAGTCCGATCGCTTACGATAAACCCGCAACACCCGCCCTCCTTCCTCCTGGCCCAAGCCGAGAGTCTGGCTCGTGCAAGGAGGCACGTGGAGGCGAGTGACTGAGGAGTTTCGTTTCGCCATTATTGTTTTTCAAGTTCCAGCACATTTTTTTAAATTAATTACAATTTTGATAAGGCAGTTTCGTTAGACTTGTTTTTATCTTTGTTTGTGCAAATTTCAAAAATAATGATCCTTGAAATAGTCGAGGTTTTCCTAGCGATGTTATCTAAATAAAAAGCGTCAACCGATTTAGATAGCCAATTTTCTCATGGCCTGGGTCAAGATTTCGTTGGTTTGTTAGGTACTTACCGAGCCTGTCTCACCACATTACACCAAAGCGCCGACATTATCAAATCGAAGCCTTTAGAAATACTTTCCTAGGTTTACTATAATAGATTGACTGAATGAGGAATCAAGTGAAAAACTAGGGTGGGTCAGGTTAGCAAAGATCTGCCGTAGGTACCTACCTAGTCGCTCACATTCAAAAGCATAGTTCGTTTATTTTAAAAGTCTGGTGGTCTGATGTTGGGAAAACAGGTTGGCTGCTCAATAGATTCCCTTTTGTAAGTATGAAATAAATTGAAGCTGAAGTTTGTTCAGATGCCTCATGTAAAAAATCGTAAATTAGGTAATTAAGCTACTTTTACTTTATATTAAAAGTATTAAAATACTTCAGATAAAATCAAAAACTGTTCCTAAAATCCTCTCCCATAGTTAAATAATATTTTTTGACACCTGCCAAAAATCTGGGTATGCAAAAGATACCCTCATAGACAAGATTCTTGACTGATTTTGCGGGAAACAATTGCTTTATGGACTGCATGCCCTCAAGCATTAAATTACACCAGCAATATCTAGTAAACAGCTGTACACCTGCCTATATCATGTTCATGCATATCCAAATATGCAACGGGAAAACACGTACTTTTTTAATTATGCTAAAACTATTAGTAGCATATTTTATAGCCTCTTTTTGTAGAATGAAACGCAGCCAGCGTTTTCGATGGAAAAGTTGCTTTTGCCAGTTTATTTATGTATGGTCATACAAAAATCACCAAAACCAATAAATCATAAATCTACTAAAAATCCGCATTTACTACTAATACTAATATCGGTTCTTTCCCAAATGATTAAATCTTGCTAAACCTTAGAGACCGTAGCTATGTCCTTCATTTATCCATGTTTCGTCTAGACATGGTAATAAATATTCGTTGCCGAAGTACGATATTCTATTATTATTTCTAAATACTAGCATGCATTTATGCATAATAAATGCAGTAAAACTTTTCGGGATAATCTAAGCAAATCATCCTCTGCGATTGCAATTTGTATTTTGTTTAATGTTAGGTAGGCATTCGTTTTTAATACTGAATATTCCTGTAACGGATCACATATTTGATGTTATTGTTAATTTCAATTTTTTCCTGCCAATTATTTAACTTTTTTACATTTCCACCACTTTTCAACTCTTCTGACACTGTTTTAAAGATTTACATATTTCTAAGGCATCACACAACATATCCGGATTTCGCGTTCGAATTCCCTGATAAACATTGTTGATCATGTGTAAAATTCTCTCGTTTACGGTTACCTACCTTAATTATCAACAGACTGACCTCTAACACTTGCATACAAATCCATTTTTAAAGACACCTTGGAATAACAAAAATGTGAAAATCATGACACATTTTTCCCACATGCGCGCATATGACACCAAAGAAAACGCCTAAGCTGGAAACTTACACATCTAGAAAGCAGGCTGTCCCTTCTTGTACACATTAAGCAAAATTAGAAATGGGCACTTGTAACAATAAAATATAGAACATAATATTATCGGTACAATATGCGAAATGAACGGCACATTACAATTTCCATGAAGGGAATACACAAAATTATTTTATCAGATTAAAAACTTGTAAAAATTAAGGTTTAATTTATTTTTGAGGTTTACTGTTTTAAAACATATTATAGTAATAACTAATTATCTAAAATAAAAATTAAAAATATTAATTAAATATTACATTAAAAAATGTAATATTTCAAAAAATATGTCTGTTTTGTTGTTCTAACATCACTTTTGACAAAGACCAACACTTAAATATAGCCGCGATATGAGGATCAAAGAAGATTGTCCGACAAATTTGATATAATTTTATCAAAATTTTAAGAATTTAAATTAATGAATTAAAATTAATTATTTAATTAAAACGTCATTAAATTAATTGTTATGTTTCTCAGTTGCACTATTTTGATGGGAAAAAGTTACAGAGGCAAAGGTTGTCAAAAATTAACCCAAAAAAGTGTCTTATCTTATATTACGCTTCTATTTCCAATTTTAGAGATAGAATATCTAATTCCATTTTACGCTTTAATTTTGCATGCCGTAATAAATAATCATTAGTCTCAGTCGGCTTGATTCCATATTAATCAATGTACTGCATTTTGCATAACACAAGATAGGTAGTAATTTATTATATCACTGGCTATAAATTGGACTGAATGATTATCTTAAAATAAAGGATTTTACTGAAAGGTCATGGTTAATTAATAAACAGCAAATGGTAGAGTTTAAATGTATAAATTAATACAGACCTATCAACATTTTAGAAATGGTAATAGCTTCTTAATGCATTTTTTTTGAGTCGAATGGTTACAGTTTTTTATAAAAAAACTGCCATTTAATGAATGTAATTTCCGTTTTATTTAATGTAAATCTAATTAAATGTATAAATTGCAAGATAAATTAATAACAGGTGTCTACAGAGCATTCATAAATATTTACAAGTCACGTGACTGCAGAACTTAGGCAACACTGCAGAGATGGTATTGGCAACGAAAAATCCCTAATATTAATGATTCGTTTACAATGAACAAATCGTTACGTTTACTCTCGAGATAATGCCATCGCTGATTGGTTGAATAGAATCTCGCGAAAAATTACATCAATAACAGTCGGTGAAACAGAAAGTTTGTGTTTTAAAGTAATCTTGATCTTATTGTTTTAATTTTACCGGAATTTAATTGCCTTCATAAGGGAAATACAATTACTGTTCCAAAAAAGGCTCTGTACTATTAAAATTCGACTATATTCTTGTAAACTTAAAAAAAATATATCTAAATAGAGAATTACAGTGTTCCAATATAAGAAGCACATTTCTCCTATTTTTTATTTTTTGACGAAATCGTTACCTTTTTGTAATATTTAATTAGGTCTCTCCTTACTTGGACTGTCTCAAACTCAATGAGCTCTATACAAAAAACTTAAATAAAATTTGGGACACGTGGTGTTAAATGGGATGAGGTAAGTTCCATTTTCAATCGAAAGTATTATCTTTGGGATTTAACAGAAATGACTAATGACGTCATCAATTATATATTTTCCAGAAACATACCCAAATTTTTTTCCTGTTAAAAAGCTCTCTTATTTCTAATAAACTTTTATTAAAGACATTTTCCTGTATTACTTCCTGTTTAAAAGTTATAAGCAATATCGCCCTAAGGAGTCTCAAAAGAAATATATACCACCTAAAAATCACATTAGCGGTGGAAGGTTCAAGGTTCAGGTAGTCGTTGGAAAATAATTGAATGTTCGCAGTTTAAAGTGCATAAATGTCATTAAGAATAAATAAAAGGATTAAACTCGATAATTCTTTAATACACTTAAAACAAAAGGTGATGATAACTAAACTTAAAAGTAAGTCGTAAGCTTTCATACTGCATGCATATTACAATCTATTCTCTATATGACCCCTCATTTCAAGACCCATATCCGATCTTCGCCTGACTTCTTTGTGTGCTGCGTTTATTAACATTTCGCCGTTTATACGAGGGTGGTCTGAAAAGTTTCCGACCTAACAAAAATACAAGACATTTTTTCAGATTTTTTTTTTATTTTTCAACATAGTCTCCTTGTAACTCTACACACTTCTCCCAGCGATGCTCCCATCTCTGTAACCCGTCCAAATAGTACTCGGCCTTTTTCTCTGCAAAATAATTGTTCACGAAGGTGATTGCCTCTTCATTTGACGAAAATCTCTGTCCTCCGAGCGCAATTTTTAGATGAGGGAACAAAAAGAAGTCGCTTGGGGCTAGATCTGGTGAGTAAGGCGGATGGTCAAGCAGTTCAAACCGTAATTCGTAACCGTATTAACATTGTTTCTTACCCTTCGGTCAATTATTTGATTTTTCCGAACAGAAACTGCATCTTCATTTCGTCGCAAGGTCGCCTCCAATCTTGAAAAGTTCTATGATCAGGAATGAGGCGCTCTGGATACCTTTCTCGATATAAGTCTACAGCTCTTCTTGAATTTTTTTGTGACTCGCCGTAAATTAGCAACATATCAACTTTTTCTGAATGAGAAAACATTTTGTAAGCACAAAAGTTATACGTTTGACGTTCGTATTGAGTAATGACAAGTATTTTGTGACATGCACTTTAAACAACGTACATTCAATTATTTTCCAACGACTACTTGATCTTTCCACAGCAAATGTGATTTTTAGGTGGTATTTTTTTTGAGACTCTTTAGAACGATATTGCTTATAACTTTTAATCGGGAAGTAATACAGAAACATTTCTCTAATAAAAGATTGTTAGAAAAAAGAGTTGTTTCATTCAAATCCCAAATACTTTCGATTGAAAATGGAGCTTAGCTCATCCCATTTAACACCACGTGTCCCCAATTTTATTTAAATTTTCTGTACCCTCACAGTAGGCCCATAATATCGAGTTTGAAACACCCTGTACGAGGGCCGCGCTGCCCAAGTTTATCACACTGTATACATAAACGTTGGAATTTTACGTAGAAAATAACCTAAAAACATACGAACGGAAGAAACTGCTTATTTAAAAAAGTATCTATCGAATATTTATAACTTTTGCATCCCAAAAAATCTTAACCCTCTCTCCTCTCTAAAATCCTTGGACATAATAG